GTTGAGGAAAATAGCACAAGGCAATATACACCTCCTAGGAAAATATAACATCTCCCTGTGCAATAATCTGCGAAATCAACCAACTCTACACCTATGTGTTCAACAGTAGGCCAGACACTTTGGGGATGGGAGACATATTACATATTAAAAGATCCCTGATCTTGAGGAATTTCCAAAGAAAGTACATGATGATAGATTATTTAAAACAAAAGTGTATTATAGAAGTTCTAAGTTCACAAGAGAAGAAATATCAAAGAGGCCTAGATTAGTAACCTCTGAGGAAGGGTAGACTATCCCCTGGATCTCCATATAACAACCATCATCACAATAATAATAGCAGCTAGCATTCACTGAGCGCTTGATATTTATCATTTATAAATTACGTGCTTTTGTAAGCTATCTAACCCTAGAAATAAACACTACTATTGTGTCTTTTTAACCGATGGGGATCATGAGACTTAGAGGGAAACCTAACATACCTAATAGTAAATGCAAACAATCTGATCCCAGAGTATTCCACACCATCTAATGGTCATGGGCTGCTTGCCTCACCCTCGAGATAAAGGTACAAGCCACAGTATCTGGCACACAGTTTAATGTTCCGTGAATGTTACTCAGTGCCCTTCCCTATCCATCCCCCACTACCATTCACCCTCAACCCTCATCTCACATACATACCTCATCTTTTCCAATTCTAAACATGCTTCAAAATTCAGTTGAAGGTCCACACTGACCTTAGACCAATCAAGCTTCTGTCTCCTTACTTATTTCTAGTACTTACTTCTCAAAGCCTTCCAGGTGATCCATGCACTGTCTTGTGATGTCACTGGCATGATTTAATGTCTTATGAAATTAATGTTTCTTACATCTTATGATATTATTAAGATGAACCTATATTATTATTAATCTTTTGCACTATTGAGCTTTTCATATAATTTAATTGTGTCAGTTAACTCCAAAATCCTTTGTGTTGTTTCTGGAGTCTTAGCAAAAGAGGCCTCAGGAAGCATTCACCAATCCAAGAGTTTGACTGTGAAGTTTTCATTTTTAGAAAAATGATCCAAGTCAAGCAAATGCAGCTAGCACATCAAAGTTTGATTCCACCCTGTTTAGAGAATATGTAGATATAGACTCTTTCTGTTTGTGCCTAATTTTAGACATAAAGGTAATCTATGCATGTTTATAATACTTTATCTAATGCATATCCATAGAACTGAATTTATCTTCTTCTGAACTACTAAGAATACTATCTGTTCTTTGAAAATGAAAAAACTGGCCAGGCATGGTGGCTCACATCTGTAATCCCAGCACTTTGGGAGGCTGAAGCAGGTGGATCACCTGAGGTCAGGAGTTCAAGACCAGCCTGGTCAACTTGTTGAAACCCTGTCTCTACTAAAAATACAAAAAAATTAGCCAGGCATGGTGGCGCGTGCCTGTAATCCCAGTTACTCAGGAGGCTGAGGCAGGAGAATAGTTTGAACCAAGGAGGCAGAGATTGCAGTGAGCCAAGATCACGCCACTGTACTCCAGCCTGGGCGACAGAGTGAGACACCATCTCAAAAACAAAAAAAGAAGAAGAAGAAGAAGAAGAAAATGAAAAAACTGACTCTTACAAAAAAAGGCAGCTTCGGTTCACAGATTTATTTTAATCTTATGAATTTATTATAAAATACTATATACCTAGGAAAGAGTTAATAGAATATATATGTACAGTTTAAATAATAATAAAAGGTACATTCTGTAGCCACTATCTACCTTAACAAATAAAACACGAAGTAGCATTAATAAATCTTTTTATATCACCTAAATTTTAGTCTAAAGCAAATTAAGCCTAATATAGTAATACAACTTCAAGATGATAAAGGGTTTTTAAAGACTGAAAAGAGCCACCAAGTATTAACAGATTATATATTGAGATTAGGAGATCAGATAAATCTAGTTCTAATAATAGTAACAAACACTATATATAAAAGACTTTTAAGTGGGAACTAATTTGTTTTCATTAAAGCATTGTTGTGTAATACAAACTTATGGCCTAAATTTTCTCGAATAGTTACAATTTTAGATATTCTATTTCCATAAACCAATGACTTTCTGGAAATTACCATATTTTGTTATTTAGGCTAACCTACATCTTCCAATCAACCTCTCCTACATGGAAATAACATAAAAGTTCTTTGTGGGGCCATGTGACCTAAATGTTGGTTTGAGGAAATAAATCATCATAGATAAAGTGTAAAAAAAGTATCAGGTCACAAGTTTAGGAGATCCTAACTCTAATCTCTGTTGAATTATTGGCTCTATGAGAGCCAAATCATGAATGAAATCCTATTCATGACTGCCACAAAAAGAATAAAATACCTAGGAAGATAACTAATGAGAAGTGAAGGGCCTCTTCAAGCAGAACTCCAAACAACTGCTCAAAGAAATCAGAGATGACACAAACAAATGGAAAAATATTCCATTCTCATGGATAGGAAGAATCAATATGTAAAAATGGCCATACTGCCCAAAGCAATTTATAGATTCAATGCTATTCCCATTAAACTACCATTGACGTTCTTCACAGAATTAGAAAAAAATTTAAAAATTCCTATGAAACCCAAAAAGAGCCCAAATACCAAAGACAATCATAAGCAAGAAGAATAAAGCTGAAGGTATCACACTACCCAACTTCAAATTACACTACAAGGCTACGGTAACCAAAACAGCATGGTACTGGTACAAGAACAGACACATACACCAATGGAATGGAATAGAGAACCTGCTGACGAGGTTGTGGAGAAAAAAGAATGCTTTTACACTGTTGGTGGAAGTGTAAATTGTTCAACCACTGTGGAAGACAGTGTAGCAATTCTTCAAAGACCTAGAGGCAGAAATACTATTTGACTCAGCAATCCCATTACTGGGTATATACCCAAAGGAATATAAATCATTCTATTATAAAGATACATGCACATGTATATTCATTGCAGCACTATTCACAATAGCAAAGACATGGAATCAACCTAAATGCCCACCAATAATAGACTGGATAAAGAAAATGTGGTACATATACACCATGGAATACTATGCAGCCATAAAAAGGACCAAGATCATGTCCTTTGCAGGGACATGGATGGAGCTGGAAGCCATTATCCTCAGCAAACTAATGCAGGAACAGAAAACCAAATACCACACGATCTCACTTATAAGTGGGAGCTGAATGATGAGAACACATGGACACATTGAGGGGAACAACACACACTAGGGCCTGTCAAAGAATGAGGGGTGGGAGGAGGCAGAGCATCAGGAAGAATAGTTAATCGATGCTGGGTTTAATACCTAGGCGATGGAACGATCTGTGCAGCAAACCACCATGGCACATGTTTACCTATGTAACAAACCTACACATCTTGCACATGCACCCCAGAACTTAAAATAAAACTTGGAAATAAAAAAAAGAAAATATATTTGAAAAAAATTTTTTGAGGAAAATATAAACGATTGAAGTTTATTCTGGAGACACAGAAAAACTGAATGAACCAGTCACTTTAGAAGATATTGAGAAAGTTTTATTAACCCTTTAGGAAAGCTCATGGTTCAGAATGGTGCCATCTAATAAAAATATACTGCCTATCAGAAAAGAGAACAACAGCTGGGCATGGTGGCTCACGCCTGTAATCCCAGCACTTTGGGAGGCCGAGGCAGGTAGATCACGATGTCAGGAAATCGAGACCATCCTGGCTAACATGGTGAAACGCTGTCTCTACTGAAAATACAAAAAATTAGCTGGGCGTGGTGGCGGGCACCTGTAGTCCCAGCTACTCGGGAGGCTGAGGCAGGAGAATGGCGTGAACCCGGGAGGTGGAGCTTCTTGCAGTGAGCGGAGATCGCGCCACTGCACTCCAGTCTGGGAGACACAGTGAGACTCCGTCTCAAAAAAAAAAAAAAAAAGAAAAGAGAACAACAAATACATAATTTTAAATTTTCTAATGGTAACACTAAAATTACAAAAAGGAACAGGTAAAATTAATTTTAATAATATATTTTAAAACAACATATATAAAAGATTATCATTTCAACATGCAATCAATATAAAAATTCATTTTGCAGCCAGGCATAGTGGCTCATGCCTGTAATCCCAGCACTCTGGGAGGCTGAGACAGCAAGATCATTTGAGGTCAGGAGTTCAAGACCAGCCTGACCAACATGGCGAAACCCCTTCTCTACTAAAAATACAAAAAAAAAAAAAAAAAAAAAATAGCTGGGTGTGGTGGCGCACCTGTAATCCCAGCTACTCAGGATGCTAAGGCAGGAGAATTGCTTGAACCCAAGAGGCAGAGGTTGCAGTGGGCAGAGATCGCATCACTGCACTTCAGATTGGGCAACACAGCGAGACTCCATCTCAAAAATAATAATAAGAATTTTACCTTTTTGGTACTTAGTCTTTAAAACTGTATTTTGCATTAAAACATTGGAATTTAGTTACTAAATTTTCATTAGAAATACTTCATGTATTTAAATTGTATGCAATTTATAAAAACTAAATTCATATACCTAGACTGTTCTAAACACACTTAGAAGTTTTCCTACACTGAAAATGAATCTTTAAATGTAAATTTAAGGAAAATAAAATTTTAAATTAAAAAATTATTGACTCTGAAGTGAGCTCTAAACTTTCAAGTAGCTAGCACAAATAGCAACACAACCAATATTAAGACTAATAGTGTCTATGAGGAAAAATTAAACTAGTATCATGGGAGAAGCTCAATTATTCCTGGTACTAACAATTGAAATACATTTTTCTAGTAAATCATCATGGAGATAATAGGAACACTGACAACATCTGCTATGGTCCAAATGCTGATGTCCCCCCAAAATTCACATGTTGAAACCTAATATTCAAATGTGATAGCATTAAGAAATGGGGCCTTTGGGAAGTGATTAAGTCATGAGGGCTCCAATCTCATGAATGGGATTAGTATCCTTATAAAAGAGACTTGAGGGAATTCGCTTACCCCTTCTACCATGTGAGGACACAGCAACAAGGCACCATTTATGAAGGAGACAGCTCTCACCAAACACCAAATCTGCTGGTGCCTTGATCTTGGACTTCTCAGCCTCCAGAACTGTAAGCAATAAATTTCTATTGTTTACAAATTACCCAGCAAGGTATTTTAAAGGGTATCATAGCAAGCCTGAACAGACTAAGATAACATCCTTCCTTATAGTAAGCAGAGCAATGTGTTTCAATATATTTCTTACCGTAACAAATATTCTGAAGACTTCAGACCAAAACACAAATTCACAGATACTAATTTATGCCCTCTGAAATAATGTTTTGAGAAATGACTCAATACCTCCTCTAGGCACCAGTGCTATAACTCTATAAAGGCAAACACCTGGATTTCTAAAATGGAGAATGCTAAAGTAGTTCCATCCTGAGTTAAGAATTCTGTTGTTCTGGGCTGGGCATGGTGGCTCACACCTATAATCCCAGCCCTTTGGGAGGCTGAGGCAGCAGATCACGTGAGGTCAGGAATTCAAGACCAGCCTGACCAACATGGTGAAACCCCGTCTCTAGTAAAAATACAAAAATTAGCCAGACATGGTGGTGCAGCCTGTAGTCTCAGCTACTCAGGAGGCTCACGTGGGAGGATAGCTTGAACCCGGAAGGTGGAGGTTGCAGTGTGCCAGGATCACACCACTGCACTCCAGCCTGGGCAACAAAGCGAGACTCCATCTAAAGAAAAAAAAAAAGAATCCAGATGTTCTGGATTAACCTGTCTGTAACCAACACCTGCTGCTAGTCTGAGTGTAAATACAACACACTGGAACTAAATTGTATTAAAATCCAATGAGATTTAGACCAAATCTATCTTTTCTCTTTCTTGCAGGTGCTCAAGGAAGTAAGGAAAAGTTTTATCTCTGGGATTGTGGTTGAAATGTGCTACAGAAATTTCAGAGTAAGTGCAGAATCTCATGTGGATGTGCATTTGTTGCGTGTGAATATAGTGAAAGTTCCACTTCAAAAAATATCAAAAAAAAAAAAAAAAAAAAACCACAACCTAAGACTTTGCAGAGAAACTTTGAAGTGATTATTTGCTTTACAGGTTATTTCTTCTAGACAACGTAAGTATTTCATAACACCCCTGATTACCAGACTGAGACAAAACAAATTTAAAGTGAAACTATTCAGAACCATAATCTACTACTAATTGGTAAAAAAAGTATTAAAATTATTATGCAAATATAGAGAAATATAAGGATTATAGGTAAAAATATGTGCTACATTCAAATGTGTATACACTGAGGCATTTCTATCCAAGTTGCCTCTAATCTTTATTTCACTTGATGGTGTTTGGTTTTGTTTCCCCCACCGGATAAAGAAGAAAACCACTAGAGTTTCTCTGACCATCAGCTCCCCAGCAAATGAAACCTCCAACAACAGATCAAGTTATTCTACCTTAGTTCAACCACTGTATATTAATACCTGGAGGGTAAGTTCAGTTTTAAGCCTTCTGAGAGGGTCCTAGTAATGCAGACATAGGCCCAAGAAAAAGGAGTCAATGCAGTTTTCTTAAGAAGTATACATGAAGAAAGCCTCTAGCCACATGACCTCAAAAGAACAAGAAAGAAAGCCACAGGTTTCAGAAATAACTCCATGGTAGCTCTATGACTTGGCCCTTTCTTTGTGTGCCAGACGATAAGGGACAGTTGGTTTCTAGGAACTTGTTCCCATAAGAGAGTATTCCAACTATCCGAGGAATGAATTCTCTGTTAACTTAAAAAAAAAAAGGCAGGGGAGGGAGATGCTTTTTTGAAAACCCAAAAGATCCAAGAACAACAACTATATGGAGGAAGAAAAAAAAACAGTAAAATTTAAAAACTTTTTAAAACATTTAATATATAGTATCTTTGCCAATATGCATTTCCCAAATACAATTGCCCAGTGTTGTATTTCTCCATCTCAGCTAATGGAATGCTGGAGGATAAAGAAGAAAGTGTAGCACTGGAGCAAACACCCAAACTGACACTGAAATTAGAAGCATCATGCTTTTCATAAAGGAAACTTAAGGTGTGGTCAGTAGCAGCTAGAACTGAGCCCGTTAGTTTTTGGCCACCATGGACCTGAGTTTCAGGGCTTTGACAGTATGAGTGACAGCATCATATTCTCTTTTATTCCTTAAACCAGATGCAGAGTCCCTGCAGCAGCCTGTCAGGATCCACTTGTGTAATACCCTCTGTGTTTACCAAGGTAACTTCTCCATATTGCATGATGGAGTTTAGATTTTATAAATAAGTTGTAGACATTAGTGAAGCAGTGAGAAGAAAAAAAGGGGAAACCAGAAAGGATTTCAGAGATTATCATGTTATACATGAGAAAAATGAGGCTGAAAAGGGGTGAAATGATTTGCTCAGTGTCACACAGCAATTCATGGTTTACCCTGTGCTCTTTAGACTTCTGCTCTGTGGCAGTCCTCCAGCTCTGGAGGGCAATGCTTAGACTGTCCCCTCTAGGGATACTGCTTTGCCTGACCACAAAATAGAGTCAAATTCTCTTAACTAGCCATAAAATGCCGTTCTGAGTTCAACAAGCAAAGTAGTAACTGAGTCCTGATTAGGTCACAGCCAGGAATCACTATCTTCCCTCTCACCCACTGGAAATAGCACAATTGAATCACCCAGGTCAAACCAAAACTAGGGCTGAGCCTTCTCTGAGCTCTCTGTCTCCCAATTACCAAACCTGGCAGAATTGGAATAAATGCTCAATGCTGGCTCAAAGTATGAAACGCAGGGCAGGGATTTAATCTGTACCAGATACAGGATGGGAGACAAACGAAACAATGTCATTAAAAGTAAGTGATTTTGGCCGGGCGCGGTGGCTCAAGTCTGTAATCCCAGCACTTTGGGAGGCCGAGACGGGCGGATCACGAGGTCAGGAGATCGAGACCATCCTGGCTAACACGGTGAAACCCCGTCTCTACTAAAAATACAAAAAAAAACTAGCCGGGCGAGGTGGCGGGCGCCTGTAGTCCCAGGTACTCGGGAGGCTGAGGCAGGAGAATGGCGTAAACCCAGGAGGCGGAGCTTGCAGTGAGCTGAGATCTGGCCACTGCACTCCAGCCTGGGCCACAAAGCGAGACTCCGTCTCAAAAAAATAAATAAATAAATAAATAAATAAATAAATAAATAAATAAAAGTAAGTGATTTTGCTATTGATTCTGGAAGCTTACTTTCAACAGATGCTGTCAGGTACATGTCTGTTATTTCTACAAGTCTCTCCTGCTGCATTCCTTCCCTATAAGATGCCCTGAGACCTCTGGGCATCAAGCCTGAAGGGTTAGGCTGGTCTATCACCTGATAGAAAGACCTCAGATTCCCACTCTCTGGTCTCACAGCCAAGTTATAATCTGAAATATCATTACAGATTCCAGGGTACTCTGGGGGTGCAGGTAGAGGGAGGAGATAGATCAGGATTTAAGGGGTAAATTTAACGTAAATGCCATCCATTCATTTATACATTGTGATACTAAACTAGCTATAAACCCTTTTTATATATTTGTATAACTCTTATTCTTTACAGGAAGTTTTCAGACCTTTGTGAAATGAGCCTCAAAACCCCACACATTTTGCTAGCCTGATTTCACAGACGAAGAACCTAAGTTCCAGAGAGGTTAATAGTCTTTTCCAAGTTCCTATAACGTGCTTCAATCAGCCAGTGGCAGAGTTAACATTTTGGCCCAAGTTCCCTGATTCAGGGCTCTTAACAAATTACAATATAGTACTCACCTCCTTATCCAGTTTCACTTTCTGTGGTTTCAACAACCCACGGTAAACTGTGGTCTGAAAATAGATGAATAGAGTATAATAAGATATTTTCAGAGAAAGAGAGAGAGATCACATTCACATAACTCTTATTACAGTATATTGGTATAATTGTTCTATTTTATCAGTTATTGTTGTTAATCTCTTACTGTGACTAATTTATAAATTTTATCACAGGTATGTATGTATGGGAAAAAACACAGTGTACATAGGTTTCAGTACTATCCATGGTCTCGGGCTTCCACTGGGGGTCTTGGAATGTGTCCCTTGAAGATAAGGGGTGATTACTGTACTGCCCATGCTACTGTGACCAATAATAAAGACTAAATCTGTGATTAGATATGTATTCAACAAAATAGTCAAATATAACAAAAGAAAGAGTATTCAACTAATCTGTTTTCTAATTTGAAAAAAAATGGCTCTTGGTGAAGTGAAATAATAACTTTCTCATTAAATATAATTCTATGAAGACAAAAATAATTTACACCTGACTGTAAAGCACATTACAAAGCCCAAAAGAATGCCCAACAGTGCCTTAAGATACAGTCAGCTGTCAATAATTATGATTAAAAAATGCACTCTTACTGCAAATGGCATATCAAATCATTGTAGATGGTATAACAGTTTCTTCCATCCTCTGAACTCTGTGTTTGTTCTTCAGCATCTTCAAGACATCTCTACAACCAGAGATCAGCCAATCACGTTTGAATGCAGAATCCAGGACACAGCCACAGTTCAAGTTCACTGGTACAGGCAGAACGTGCAGATAACCAACTCAGATGACTTACGGATTCTAAGAAAAAGTATCATGATAAGCCTTTCAATTGTTTTTAATTCCAGTTAACCCTGAAGTCTACTTCATGTTTTAAAGTTTAATTGCTGATTTTTTAAAGGTTTAAAGATTTGTGCTGTTAAACAATCATTATTTCAAATCCAAATGATTTCTCAACAACAACCAACAGAGAAAACTGTTTTGATGAAAGAGTAATTTTCATAGCTGTGAAAATATTGGTTTATCATAAATTAATCTTATTTTCATGAGTTCTTGACATATAAACAAAAAGAAATATGAGAATAAACATATTTCTTAAAGGGTAAAACATAAAAAAACTGACAGATAACTTTTTACTTTATTGGGTAATTTTCCTACAAGATAATTAATTTGGAGAAGGGTAGTAAGTATAATGATCTATCTTATGCTAAACAATGAGTTTATACTTTATAAACAATTTCTCATTTAATCCTCACATAACCATTTTGAAATATATGTTATTATCCTAATTTTTAAATAACTAAAATTAGAAATACAAAAAAATCTCACTCAAGGACACAAGGCTAGTAAATGCTGAAGCCAGTGTTCAAATCCAAGATAGTTCTTATGCCAAATGAAGAAAATATACTCATTTAAATATTAATTCAAAATAACTAAATATTTACACATCACATATAGGAAAAAAATCTTATTACAAAAAGGATATGATATTTCTGTTAAACAACATTTGTTGTATTGTTGAAAATAAAGTAATACAAATTTATAAAAAACCTAGAAAATACATAACACGAAGAAAAAAATTAAAAATAGAGAAAACCATTATTAACCTTTCATATATTTTTCTACAGTAATACTACAGTATTTTTATAATGTAATTTTCCATTTTATTTTAATCAAAGAAATTAGGAAAAAATGATTCTCTTGGGTGAAAAAGGCCATCTCAGTATTAGTGTGTTCAACAGTGTTCATATTCAGAGAAGATATATTCATCCGGTCTAATCTTAGGGATGAAGAAAGTCTGGGTAAGTAAAGTAATTTTCACAAGGTCACAGAACAATTTAGTGGTAGAAGCAGAACTAAAATCAAGTTCTTGTACCCTGCCACTTATTCATTTCTTTATGTACCTTTTCTGAGTTTCTGAAGAATTTACTTACTGTCTGCGACTCCAGATTAGTCAATTTTGTATTTGCTTCTGGGTATTTCTCATATACATATGGCCCCTTCTCCCAACTAAATTAATTATCATCACTTAAATTCTCTCTCTTTTTTCTTGTTTTATCTTTCAGAAATTTATCATCCCTTCCTGGTAAGTATAATTTCTTAAAATCTTGATAATTGACTAAATCAACATTAGCATCGGAAGACTTTGTCCCCTAAGTCACTCTTGCCTTCATGAGCTCTTCTGAGGCTCCCCTACACCAACTCTTGAACTGACACAGCAGAAGAAAGAAAGTAACTGGGATTTATCGGTGTTTTTATTCATATATTTATTAATTCAACATAGGTTTACTGAGTATAGACTATGGTTAGTCTCTGTTCTTGGTATTAAAGAGACAGCAATGAACCAGACTGACAAGGTCCCTGCTCTCAAAGAATATGCATTCTCCCTGTAATCCCACTTGGGTTAGGATTTGTGACTCATGAACTTTACACAGAAGCAGTAAGGAGGTGTCCTGACATCAAACATCCAAACTGCTCACTGTCCAAGAAGAAGGTGTGATGACCATCACACTGTGGCCATCTCTGCATTAACATTAGGTCTAAGTCTGATGGTAGTGATAATTTCTAGTTCAGTTCAGAGTATGTTTCTATAGGACTAAAGCTACCGAATTCTAGAAATCAAAGAATAAAATGTAATCCTGCTTTCAAGGATTTCATAGTCTAGTAGAGAAAACAGACATGTCTAAGCGGCAGTTGATAAGAACCATGATGCGATTGTTTTAGTTTTTTTTTATTTTATTGATATATATTAGATGTACATATTTTCAAGGTATATGTGATAATTTAATACATTCATATAATCAAATCAGGGTAAATGAGATATGCATCGCCTAAATTACTTTATACTAGAAACATTCAAATTACTCTCTTCTAGCTATTTTGAAATGTACAATTAATGGGGCTTTTTGTTTTGTTTTCTCTTGTTTTTTTTTTGAGATGGAGTCTGGCTCCGTCACCCAGTCTGGAGTACAGTGGCATGATCTCAGCTCACTACGATCTCCGCCTCCCAGGTTCAAATGATTCTCCTGCCTCAGCCTCCTGATTAGCTGGGATTACAGGTGCCCGCCACCACACCTGGCTAATTTTTGTAATTTTTTTTAGTAGAGGCAGGGTTTCGCCATGCTGGCCAGGCTGGTCTAAAACTCCTGACCTCAGGTGATCCACTGCCTTGGCCTCCCAGAGTGCTGGGATTACAGGCGTGAGCCACTGTGCCCAGCCAATGGGGTTGTATTTTTAATATTTATCTTTATGAGCCCACTGAGAAGAGAAAATACCGAATCAGATGGATTTTTTTTTAAATCTCAGGAATAATCTATTTATTCCTAGTACCTACTCTCCCCAACATCTTCCCACACTATACGTCTGTTAACTTGGGGCATCCAAATACGCTAATCAAGTTGAATTTCTGCTCTTTCCACAGGAAGTCTGCACCTTATCACAGAAGAATTTCCTGAAGACTCTGAGGAGTTCAAGTGTATTGCAGATAATGAGGCTGGCACTGCAGCTTCTACAGCAAAACTCTTCGTTTCCCCAGGTAATAACTCTTCAAAAATCTCCTTGCTACAATTCAGCCCTGAGTCAGAAGGAAGAATCTTTGTTTCCATCTGAACTCGTGATTAATTATATTTTCCAGAAAGAAAAGTAGTAGAGAAATCAGAGAGTCCTCCCAAGTTATCCATCAGCAAATTTTCTCCAAAACTGGCCTCCTCTCCCTGGAGCACCGAAAGCTACACAAAGGACACAAATCCAGACGATACCGCCATAAATGTTACGCCAATCATTCCTGAACCGATCACTCATAATGAACATGAGATCCAGTTTCCAAAGAAGGATTTCTGTACCATCAGTGGAAATACTTTTGAGCTACAAGCACAGTAGTAAGAGGAGACAGGCCCAACATTCATTCATTCAAGAAATATTCCTGGTTCTGTAGACAGATCATGACAAAGCTCCTGTCCTCAGGGAGTTTGCATTCTAACATGAGTCACTTTAATTGTGTCGGTCCTCCCTTGCCTTTCAGTGTGCATTTCACCATGGCTGAAATATTAAGCCTGGTGCTTAGATTCACATTTAAGGGTTTGTTACACAGACTTATTGAAAAAAAAAAAAAAAATCAGGCCGGGTGCGGTGATTCATGCCTGTAATCTTAGAACTTTGGAGGCTGAGGCAGGTGGATTACTTGAGGTCAGGAGTTCAAGACCAGCCTGGTCAACATGGTGAAACCTCGTCTCTACTAAAAATAAAAAATAAAAAAATTAGTTGGGCATGGTGATGTGCACCTGTAGTCCCAGCTACTTAGGAGACTGAGGCACCAGAATTGCTTGAACCAGAAGGTGGAGGTTGCAGTGAGCTGAGATCGTGACACTGCACTCCAGCCTGAGCGACAGAGCAAGACTCTGTCTCCAAAAAAAAACAAAAAGGAAAAGAAAAATCAATGCTGAAATAACACAAGATTTTGAAGAAGTGGAATCTCTTTCCAAAATAGAATTCAGTGTCCTATCTCAATATAAAAATGTAAAACATTTTGTGATACAGGTTTCTTCTTTATCCATGAAGAAAAACAGACCTTAGAATAAAAACAGAACTGTCCTTGTGTTTGGAAAACAAATGTAGAAATGTAAAGATAATTGAGTTAAGTGAATTTTCCCACCAGGTTATGTTTAAAACAACACAATCCATCACCATTTGCTACTTCTCCACCCCTCAACACAAACCTCAAATCAAAATATTGTTTAAAAAATAACCTAGGGGCTTGGCATGGTGGCTCACCCCTGTAATCCCAGCATTTTGGGAGGCCGAGGCGGGCAGATCACCTGAGGTCAGGAGTTCAAGACCAGCCTGACCAACATGGAGAAACCCCATCTCTACTAAAAATACAAAAATTATCTGGGCGTGGTGGCACATGCCTGTAATCCCAGCTACTTGGGAGGCTGAGGCACAAGAATCGCTTGAACCCAAGAGGCAGAGGTTGCAGGGAGCCGAGATCACACCACTGCACTCCAGCCTGGGTGACAAAGCATGCTAGGCTTGCCTTGGGAAGACGGCCAATACTGATTATCTAAATTTTTTCTACATACCTGTGTTTAATAGCAAGCCTTTGGGAGGCTGAGGCAGGTGGATCACGAGGTCAGAAGTCTGAGAACAGCCTAACCAACATGGTGAAACCCCGTCTGTACTAAAAATACAAAAATTAGCCGAGCCAAGCATGGTGGCACACACCTGTAATCCCAGCTATTCAGGAGGCTTAGGCAGGAGAATCACTTCAACCCGGGAGGCGGAGGTTGCAGTGAGCCGAGATCGCGCCACTGCACTCCAGCCTGGGCAACAGAGCAAGACACTGTCTCAAACATACAGACACACACACACACACACACACACACACACACACACACCCAAATAGTAAGCCTAGGTCAGGCACAGTGGCTTACACCCGTAATCCCAGCACTTTGGCAGCCTGAGGCAGGCGGACTGCTTGAGCCCAGAACTTCTAGACCAGCCTAGGCAATATAGTGAGATCCTATCTCTACAAAAATATGTAAAAATTAGCTGGGTGTGGTGGCTCATGTCTGTAGTCTCAGCTACTTGGGATGCTGAAGTGGGAGGATGGCTTAAGCTGGGGAGGTCAGGCCTGCAGTGAGATGTGATCCTGCCACTGCATTCCAGCCTGGAGGGCAGAGCAAGACCCTGTCTTTAAAAAAAAAAAAAAAGAAAGTGAGCCTTTAAAGCTTTAAAAGGCACAGTGGCTCACACATGTAATCCCAACACTTTGGGAGGCTGTGGCAGGAGGATCACTTGAGCCTAGGAGTTCGAGGCTGCAATAGATATGATCATGCCACTGCACTTCAACCTCAGAGACCAAGTGGGAACCCATCTCGAAAATAAAAATAAGCAAATAAATAAAACTTTAAAAGACCTTGAATTTATAAGTTAATATCTTTCATAACAAATGACCATCTTCATTAGTAAAATCATCTGTGGAGAAAACTATTGGGTAAATATTCCATAAAAGTTAACAAGTTTTTATTGAGTGTCTACTATGAGCCACAGTGTTAGGCAAGATAAATAAGTAGTAAACAGTCCCTCCCTCAGAAACAATTTAGTTAAGGAGATAAACCCACAGAATGTCCATTATACGACTTCCCATTTCATTTGAGTCTCTCATCAATCATCTGATTTAGGTTGGTAAACCTGGTACTACTTTTTTTTTTTTTTTGCGGGGGGGAGTCTGGGTCCTGGGTCTTGCTGTGTCACCCAGGCTGGAGTGCAGTGGTGTGATCATGGTTCCCTGTGCCTCGATCTCTTGGGCTCAAGCGATTTTCCCACCTCAGCCTCCCATGTAGCTGGGACGACAGAAATGCACCACCATACCTAGCCTCATTTTTCAATTAGTTATGAAAGCTCAAAGTTTAAGCAACTTGTTTAAGGCTACACAGCATGTATGTGGTGGAGTGGGCGCTCATACTCAGGTCTCCAAAAACAAATAACAAGAGGTAAATATGTCTAGAAAGTTGTAGAGCATTAGCCAAATTAATGTTATCATTTGTATTCTTTTACTCCAAACTCCATGGATTCCATTAATTTCTTGCTTGGGAATAATATAAGATTGAGTCAAATGCTAGATTGGATATTTCAAATTATAAATGCTACAATGGGATTCCCTTTCGTTATATGTCTACGCAGAACTTTAATAACCACAGTGAATTTGTGTGAACTAAAATAAAACTTTCTTTACTCTTTAGTTCTTCCATCCTCAATGTGACATATTCCTTTCCAGTTGATATAACAGAAATAAGTTTCGTCACATACATCTGACTTCTGACTTTAGAAGAAGCTCACAGCACCATTTTTTTTTACAATAGCATATATACCTTATATTTTTGAAAGACAAGAGCTATAAATGAAGAGGGAAGGATGAGTGACAGTTAAATAGCTACCCTGTTTCTGAAACTGATAGACAAGGAATTCCCTTAACATGTAACAGGAAAGGTTTCAGTGAGATAGTAGGAAGTTACTGTGTTTTGTAAGGCATTTGAATAATTTACTGAAGGCCCTTACTGATAATTTAGAAAAAGAAATGGAAAAGGCTGTCTTTATGAACAGACTGTAGTAAAAGTTCACCCATCTGGCATTGTAATAATTCTTCCAGTCTTAAGAGTCTATGATTTTTCTCAAATAGGCAATTAAACCATTCAAATAGCCATATTTGTGAGGAAACAAACGACCATTCAAAAAAGCAAATCAAACATTAAAAGGCAGGAACAGATTTACAGTAGATTATTAAATATAGACCCCTGACTACTGAGAATGGTATCGTAAAAGAGAACCTACTTACCTTTCCTAAATCATCCCTTGATCCCCCTATTATAGCAAGAACTTTAGCTTTGATGTACCATGGAGGCTATCACATTTATCACGCTGTAACCTGGGTTGTATCTCACAAAGACCTAGAGAAGAGGCAAAGTTTGAAAGACAAAGAGTAAGCAGAACTAAATTCTTCCTCAAGTGTAGTACCCTTAGAACCTGCTGTAGGCAAAATCGGGTATTTAGCAGGTTGTCCTGGATGTCTTCCCTACTTGGCTGGTGAGGTATAGCTCAAACTTTTAGTACAGAGAGACCTCAAATCTATTACTTCCTTTTCCATGCCCTAATCAAACCCTGTTCTCCAGCAGAACCAAATGTCAGTCATATATACCACATTTAAAATGCTTAGAATAGATAGGCTGGGCATATGGTTTATGCCTATAATTCCAGTGCTTTGAGATGATGATGTGGGAGGATCGCTTGACATCAGGAGTTCGAGACCAGCTTGGGCAACATAGTGAAACTCTGTCTCTACAAAAAATTGTAAAATTAGCTGGGTATAGTGGTGCATGCCTGTAGCCCTAGCTACTTGAAAGGCTGCAGAGGAAGGATCTCTTGGGCCCAGGGGTTTGAGGCTGCAGTGAGTTCTGATCATATCACTGCACTCCAGCCTAGGTGACAGAGTAAGACCCTGCCTCTAAAAAAAAAAAACTAATAATAAAATAAAATGCTTGAAGGCATGTCTTACTCATTATAAATGCTATATACTGGCTACTATTATTTTTATTCTATCACTTGCATTTGCATTTTAAGTCTCTCTAATTTAGATGGAAAGGCTTTGTCTCTATTAATGGAATTTGAAATATCAGTGAACAGATGTTAAGGAATATTTTGGGAGACTCCTGAAATAAGACTTTGTAGGCAACCACCTACTCACCAAGTCTAGCATGTTTTTTCTACTAAGGGCTGTGCGCCCAGGCAGAAATTATCAAACTTTCTTTGAACACCAAAGAAAGGTACACCTATATGGTCAGCTGTGAAGAATTTTACATGGCTCATATGTGCTTAAACATCTAGTTGCTGGACCCTAATGTACATGTTAATTCAATCAAGATTGGGGTATCTACTCATGAGGGAGGGGAACTGAAGCCACCCCATGGAGATAATTCTACTCCATTGGCCGGATCCTCATGCCACCTACCCTACTTCACCACGTTTGTTGATTCAACATTTTATTCTTCTGCAATTATTTACTTCCCTGCACAAAAATGGAAACCTAAATACCATGATGGTCTCCGTGAAAAAAAGTGAAAGGAAACTATATAACTGTTAGGAGTAAAGGGAGATGAACATACATTGACAGCCCTAATTATGTAGATTGCTTATTTGTTTGGTTGTTTCTTGTTTCAAAACTCCTTTAGAATAAAAGCACTAGGCGAAAGGGGCATATGCCATATGGATTCAGAAAACTTGCTAAAGAAACACAATCATGTTTTTCCACCTCCCTACCTTGCCAGTGACATGTCACTATGACCCTGGTCTCCTGCTTTGCGCAGACTGCCCTCCACCTTGGAACAAATTGCTAGTACTGAGAGATCTCAAATCTGTTATTGAATCCTACTCTCATTAGGCAAAAGAAAAAAAGACTTCAGATGAAGAATTATGCAATACAAATCAATTTGGAGCCCATCTACCACTGGTCTTATTCCTGGGGAAGTCTTAGTATAATAGACAGATGAACTCCACTCTTGAAATATTATTTCCCCTTTAGTCCTGTCTCTTAAATTGGGAAAATTCAAAGTCCCCACCATAATAAAGAAATAAGAGGGTTTTTTTCTATTTTTCCCATTTCCCTATTCACCGCCCTTCCCTCACATGAGCTTGCTAAAGTTCATAGTCAAAATTCACGTCTAAAATAAAGAGGCTTGCAAAAGAAACTCATGTAATCCCACTCCTTAAATATCACTAAGACATCTGAGATATTGTTTAGATTGTGGACTCTTACTTTGACATGCCAGCATAGGTAGATGGACAGGCAAGCACATCAGATGTCACTGTTTGGCAGCTGATAAAAGTCAGTGGTGCTATAATACTAAGCACAGAGCCACTAGATTAGTCTGTGAGGGAAGGAGATGCCTCTTCCTTCCCTTCAATAGTGGGTTAAACCCAGCTGGCACCCTCTGGAACTACGGGTAAGTCCCTTCTTTATTCCTACTACACTTTTAGGTCTTGTTTTTGTTTTCTGTCCAAATCAGATGAGTGTATACAAAGATGATTTTCAGATAAAAAGTTTCAAAGCCACAACATTATAATGATATTACATAAAGATTTAAAGAGAAAACGACTCATTCATTTCACTGAGACTGGAAGGCGTTATACAAATGATAGAAGGAAAGACAGCTGCGTCTCATTATTTTTAAATCACCATTTTTCCTTGAAAAGGGACACTTGAGCTGATGTAATTGTGGTGATGTCTTATGAATGCAACATATCCTCTATCAGTCCTCTGTGCAAATCTATGCTATATTAGAGATAGACAGGGAAAAAATGTTAAGATTTTTAAAACAGGAGACTGAATACTACTTTATTTATAAAAATATTTGAAATTCATTTAACATTATTTGGAATAAAGTGATACTGTCAAATAACAGAATCTACTATAGAATTGTTGAACAGTAACTACAAACATAAAGAAAAGACTTACAGAATTACCTGTGTAAATGTCTGTATAAAATTTTGTTGACACATGGATAAAATGAAAGTTATGAAATAACATATTTTTAATTAGGCTTTTAAAAATATCGCTAATTATTAACAATGTAGGCCAATATCAACATGTACAAGACAGTTGACATTCTGAAAATATATGTAAAGAAAAAAAAGGGAACTGTTTTTGGAAAGTATCTACTATTTCATAATTGGTTTATTCCTTGCTATCTGAAATGAGCCTCAATAATGTACCTGCCCAGAAAGAAATTTAGGAATCAAACTCTGGATTCAATTCTGCAACAGACTGAATAAACTGATAACTACAAAACTACTTGCCTTGATATAAACTTTTTTTTTAAGATCTACTCAAGGCCCTCCTGCAGGATGTTTTTCCCCAGCAATTTAAAATGCCTAAAGTAGTTCATTTCTAAAATGCATTCTAGTTTAATGTATTTGTGTTCATAAACTTGAAATTAAGGAATATTTAACTTTTTAAGTATTCTTTTTCAATAGCGTCTTTCACTTGGCTGCTTAGTTGCATTTCTGTTTTTTCCTAAAATTGCTAGTTTAAATTAAACTCTAAACTACATAGGCAACCTTGAAATACTATTTTTTGAAAGTATCCTATTATTTACGATGAAACTCTTTGGTCTGGAAAAGTTTTATTAACATTTTATCCAAGACAGTAACTAAAATAATTACAAGACTTCATTTCAATGATGACAAACAATTTGGTTAATTTTTCCGTTAAAAGTTTGATTTGTCATTATCTCAGTATTGGCTTATACAATGTGAAACAAAATAGGCAAATGTATTTTGAATCAATTTATCTGATATTTTCAATGAAAACAGGATTAGTGTTAAAACAATTTATAAGGCTAGTCTTTGTGTGTAATGTCTATATATAGTCCTGCTTAGGTTTACCATACTAATGGGAAAAAATCACAGGCAAATACAATCCTTCAAGGTTGATTTTCATGGCAAATGTTTCATCTAAGAAAAAATGAGGAGGTACTGTAGGAAGGCAGGAGGGCCACTACAGAGCTAAGCAGGAGGAATGGCACCTGTCTTTTCTTGGTAAGGTATAGACTAAATTCATACGTGTCTTATTTACTTGTATGCTTCCTGTTTGCCATTTGAAAAGAAAAAGTAAAACAGCAAAAATCAATTTCAAAATTAGTCTATCTGAGATCTCCAAAGGTGTGGCAGAAAAAAAAGAAGAAAAAGACCAAAAAACAAAATTAGTCTAAAATACATACTAAACAAATAATAAAAAGTAAAATTCTAAATAATAAAAAGCACATCAAGACCAACAACTAGAAAGTATAATCTAAAAATAACAGAATTCTAGGGTATGATTCTGTTTAAAAATACATAATAAAAACAGAAAAATTTGTAAGTGGCTCTGGAATGCAGCCTGTAACATATATTCCACACAAACATATACATACAATCACTCCTTAATTAATATCTAGTTTAGTAATATGGTCAGTTTGGAATCAAGGAGAGAAAAAGAAGCAGTGAATTATAAGGTTAAAAAGCAATCCACTCAGCTAGGTGCAGTGGTTCATGCCCGTAACCCCAGCACCAAGGAAGGCTGAGGCAGGAGGATTGCTTGAGGCTAGCAGTTTAAGACCAGTCTAGGTAACATAGTGAGACCCTGTCTCTATTTAAAAAAGAAAGAAAGAAAAGAAAGAAAGAAAAGAAAAGAAAAAAGAAAAGAAAAGAAACAAAGAGAGAGAAAGAAAAAAAGAAAAATTAGCCAGGTGTGGTGGCTTATACGTGTAGTCCCTACTCTGGAGGGTGCAGTGGGAGGATGGCTTGTGTCCAGGAGTTGGAGGGGCTGCAGTGAGCTATGATCACCTGGGTGACCAAGCAAGACACACAAAGAAGGAAGGAAGGAAGGAAGGAAGGAAGGAAGGAAGGAAGGAAGGAAGGAAGGAGGGGAGGGAGGGAGGGAGGGAGGGGGGGAGGGGGGGAGGGAGGGAGGGAGGGAGGGAAAGCACATAAGATCTGAAAGATGTCACATAAACAATGTAATTGTTTAAGCAAATATTGTAACAATTATTTTCTTCTTCTGAAGGAACAATATTCTTCAAGAGAAGCTCACTCTACCAAAGCCAGGAGCACAGTATTCTCAGGATCTCAACAAGGAAGAGCAGACGAAGGTTGCTTCTGATTCCTTGCAACCTTCTGTAATTCCAGGCTTGTGGCCCCAGATTCAGGGCCCCACCCTTCCAGGAACAAATCATTATAGTAATAACTTGCCTTCATCTTCCACATACCAACTAAGCATGTTTAACTACGAACGTCCAAAACACTTCATCCAGTCCCAAAACCCATGTGGCTCCAGACTGCAGCCTCCTGGACCGGAAACCTCCAGCTTCTCTAGCCAGACCAAACAGTCTTCCATTACCATCCAGCCCCGCCAGTGTACAGAGCAAAGATTTTCCGCCTCCTCAACAGTGAGCTCTCACATCACCATGTCCTCCTCCGCTTTCCCTGCCTCTCCCCAGCAGCCTGCTGGCTCCAACCCAGGCCAAAGGGTTACAACCACCTATAACCAGTCCCCAGCCAGCTTCCTCAGCTCCATATTACCATCACAGCCTGATTACAATAGCAGTAAAATCCCTTCCGCTATGGATTCCAAGTAAGTGAATTTTTATATACCGCATGTATAGTGAAATTATATCTGAGGAGTTTGCGTGGGGGTAGGAGTTTTGGGGGTACGCTGCAGTTCATTCTTTACTATTTAAAAAGGCAATGTGACCTTACAGTCTCATTCCATAGTTCTACTAGAACATGCTGAACCAGGGTACTGGCAATAAGAGGTCATCTGACCATTCTCCAGTGTCCAGGCTGAGCTGAATCCAAATTACCTATTACGCCATAATATTATTTACCCATTATTTTCCATCTTTGAAAAAAATAACTTCTCACATACCCAAGAACAATGAACTTTTCCTTTAGTTCTAAGCTAAGCTCCTCATGCTGTAAATTTAATTCCTCTGGTTCTGGGCTCGGCTAAGATGAACACCTGTCTGCTCTTCTTCAGATAGGATTTCCTCTCACATAAGCAGAGGCTATTAAGTTTCTTCTCAGTCTTTTCTTCCTATCCCTTTTCCCCTCTAATCCTGAATATCCACTTGGCTCAAAAATTCTTAAATTAACAAATAAAAAAATCTGGAACTCAGACCCTTGAATATATACATTTTCCTTACTGTGATCAGAAGAAGGCAGGCCTGAATAGATGAAGGCTTATGACCTTAAGGTTTCTTTTGGTAATTAAAACCACACCTTGTTCAAATTAGTTGGGTTGATCTAAATACAAGGACTAATACTGAAGCCTTATGCAAACATGTGCTACTTCAACTACCCTAAGACTGTCCTAGGAGAACCTAGTATGAAAAAGGACATGGTGGTTATGCTTTTTTTAAAACATGAACTGAATACCTTGTGCTTACGCAAACTAAAGGCTATCAGCTTTCCGGTTCCTTGGCTGGCTGGAACATCAGAGAATTAAATCAGAGGCATCTCAAAAATTGTCTGATGGAATATGTTTTGTTGCAGCCTTACTAATACATTACTCAACTCTGATAGTTTCTCGCAATCTTCTCTAGAGGCTAATTTTTCTAGAAACTCCTATTAGTGGTGACAACTTTGGAAATCTAGTTGAACTGCCTATAGCAATTCAACTTGCAAAAAAAAACTTTTCGATATTTAAAAAAATAAAAATCAGGAAAACCAAAAACATTTGTTAGAATCCTAGACACATTAAGTTGAACCATTTGAAATGGCTGATACTCAACTGTTTTTGACCTACAAAAATGGCATTCTCAAAGGTTTAACCTAATAATTTAAAAGGATGTTTTCAATAACTGAGAGCCCTTTCTTTCTCTTCCCTCCCAAATTCCCTTTATATTCATAATATATAGTAGATCTTTCTTGGTTACATTTACTCAGATGATCATTTTCCATCTAGCTTTCTATTATTTCCATATTTCCTATATTAGCATTTTAAAATCTAAAAGAATTTTTTCTGTTTTTCTTTACCAGTAAAGTCTTTCAATCATATTTCAAATTACTGCCCAGAAAAGAAAGTTATCAAAGACTTAAGAAAAGAGAAAGAAAGCCAAAAATATAATAAGAAATAAAGCCTAGGAGGTCCCCAAACCAGAGATCAAAGATCCACTTTAGCTGTTCCATTTTCAGCAACCACAGATAACTCTTTAATCTTCCCATAGCTACTTGATACCCATTTTGTGTCCAGCTGTACAGAGTGGAAAGCCCTGGTCCTTTGAACATTTGTGCACAACTCCCTCATTGTTATGATGGGCTCCAGTTTGCCCCGACTTCAAAATAATCCCTTGGATTCTGACCTAGAGAAGTTTGAAAGTTTTATTTAGGTTTTCATCAATAAGAAGCTCTTAAACATTTTACCCAGTTGATCAAACCACAGACTGAAAATTGAGGGGAACTCAGTTATTCCTTCCAAAAAGCTTGCTATGTGAAATTCAGCAAGCGCTTTACCTACCCAGTGCTTCAGTTTTCTGGTCTGTAGCAATATTAAGGAGTTAGGTAACTAATGATAGAGAAAGAACCTATAAAGCAGCATGCAAACGTATTATTAGTTTGTAAATAGGAACATTTATCAAGTCATAACACTTAATCCACCTAAACTGGGAATAATGAGGGTATTTAGCGAACAAAGTGACTGAGGTTACATATACATCAGTGATTCTCAGGACTGGTTTTGATAATCCTTCAGGATTTCTCAGATATATTCAGAATTTCCCAGATATGACATGTCTAAAAACAATTATTTAATGCTAATTCACGTTAACAAATGTGTGACTTATAAAGATGGTAAGCTAGCATTTAAAAAAAAAAAAAAAAAAAACAGTAGGCTATGCCAGGCGTGGTGGCTCACACCTATAATCCCACCACTTTGGGAGGCCAAGGTGGACAGATCATCCGAGGTCAGGGATTTGAGACCAGGCTGACCAACATGGTGAAACCCTGTCTCTACTAAAAGAAATACAAAAAAATTAGCAGGGTGTTGTGGCAGGCACCTGTAACCCCAGCTACTTGGGAGGCTGAGGCATGAGAATCGCTTGAACCTGGGAGACAGAGGGAGGCAGAGGTTGCAGTGAGCCAAGACCATGCCATTGCACTCCAGCCTGGACAACAAGAATGAAACTGTCCCCCACCAAAAAAAAAAAAACAAACAAAAAAAAGTGGGCTGTTATAATTTCATATGATTGAAAAAATATGAGATCTATAAGGCCAAAGAGATTTTGCCACTTTGATCTAGGAATTCAATCTTAAAAAAAAGTCACTATTTTAAATAACATTTTGTTTGGCTATTTAATTAACTGAACAAATCAGACTTTAAAGATTTATATAGACAACAATGAAGATCTTAAGACCTGAAATGTCAGGAGAGGAAATGTGTATCATTAGCTTTCAATAGAGTGTCCTGAATACCATGAAAATCACTCATTCACTCAACTGATAGTATCTCCTATACCCATGCTTTATGTTCGTGGATATAAATGATATAATGATAAGAAATAAGACACATTTTTTCTCCAGAATGTTTACAATCTAATGATTACTAACCAAGTCCCCAAAGCCAATAAAAATTAAAACTCTGGCCCTACTTGGAGGAAATACATTTCTACTTAGCTCACAAGTCCTTTTAATGATCCTTGAGAATATTTGGAAAGGATCATTTCAGAGAATAGACCAAGATTGTCTCATCTGGATGGCCGGAGAACATTTATTATAATAATGGTAAAATACTCATTGAGGGCAGTGGCTAGTTTCCTCACATTAAACAGATTAATAAAGATTAGCCCCTGCAGGCCAGGTGTGGTGGCTCAAGCCTATAATCCCAGCACTTTGGGAGGCCCAGGCAGGCAGATTACCAGAGGTCAGGAGTTTGAGACCAGCCTGGCCAACATGGCAAAACTCCGTCTCTACTAAAAACACAAAAATTAGCCTAGCATGGTGGCGGGTGCCTGTAATCCCAGCTACTTGGGAGGCTGAGACAGGAGAATCACCTGAACCCGGGAGGCAGAGGTTGCAGTGAGCCGAGATCACGCCACTGCACTCCAGTCCGGGCAACACAGTGGGACTCTGTCTCAAAAAAATAAATAAAAGTTAAAAATAAAGATTAGCCCCTGCAGGGCTCTAAATGGATAAACTAGGTAAAAACTAAATAAAGCACTGTGATACATGTAAGCTACATAACAGATCTAAAAATACCAGACTCTCTAAATACCACCCTATCCTCTATCAGAATCAACAAGGGAAATATGAGAGGGGCAAGGACATCCTAGAAAAAATTTAGGATCAAAATTTGAAATAAAGACTATTTATTTGCTTTTTTTCCAGTTTACATTTCTTTCTCCTTCCTCAAATCATCCTATTCTTTCTCTAAAAATCACTTCAGCAGTATTGAAGAAACTGTCATTACTTTAGAAGTTATTCACTGTTATATAGTGCCATACTTGGATTTTCTAGAATATGAAATTAATAGGAATTGGAAATTACAGGAAAGTCAATGGCTGTGTAAACAGTAGACTCCATTCAAAGCAAGAGATTATTCACTAAAAGCCAGTGGTGTGCTGGTAAATGTCTAACAATCATTGGATTAAAGAGCCATTATTTGTGATATTTACCAATTTCCCTGGTGTAAATATTTCCACCACAACCAATTTCAAACTATAACATGAAATCACAGGAAGCTGGGAAAAGATGTTAAAAATCAGCCCATACAAAGCAGCTCCAGCACACCACCACTTAATATCTACCCACAAATCAAACAAGAAATTCAGTCATCGTAGCTATAATAAAGAACAAAATTGTGTCCTTTGCAGTAACACGGATGCAGCTTGAGGCCATTATCCTGAGCAAACTAACACAGAAACAGAAAACAAAATAGGGCATGTTCTCATTTATAAATGGGAGCTAAACATTGGGTACATATGAACACAAAGATGCAAAACAATAAACACTGGAGATTCCAAAAGCAGAAAGGGGGGAAGGAGGTGGACAAGGGTTCAAAAACTACCTATAGGGTACTATGTTCACCTCCTGGGTGACGGAATAATTAGAAGGCCAAACCCCAGCATCACACAATATATCCATGTAACAAACCTGCACATGTACTCCCAGAATCTTAAAAAAAAAAAAAAAAAAAAAAAAAAAAAAAAAAAAAATTTTAAGATATTAGTCATAAGATTGGAAGAGCTCTCAAGCTGCCATTAACTAGACTTACTCTCACATTCCTTAGGGAAGACCTTCAAGGAAGGACATCCTCCTTATGTCTAATCTAAATTCTTCCTCTTGCCACTTAATTTCCATTTGCCAAAAGGAAAAAAAAAGATAGTAACCATTCTTATAAAATATTTCTTGACTGTTATTGGGCAATTTGTTTTTAATAATACTAGCAGTACTAAGTGGTAAACTTAACATATCTAAAGGTAACTTGCAAAATGAGGCCAAGACTTTCTTTTTTAAAATATTTTCTTTTTCCTTTTTATAGCTATCAACAGTTCTCAGCTGGCCAACCTGTAAATGCTAAGCCATCCCAAACTGCAAATGCTAAGCCCACACCAAGAACTCCTGATCATGAAATACAAGGATCAAAAGAAGCTTTGATTCAAGATTTGGAAAGAAAGCTGAAATGCAAGGACACCCTTCTTCATAATGGAAATCAAGTGGGCAAGATGTCTATTTTGTACAAAAGGCCACTTAAACCATAAAGTCTAATTTTAATAAGGAAGTTCTATCTCACATATCTATGTCCACATAATCAGCAAGGAATAAGATTATCTAAAAAGAAGGAATATTTGGGCCTATTCCATTTCTCTCTGCATGAAATCACCTCTTGGTTTACAGTAGTAAAAGAATGAAGCAAATGAAAAATCTATCTGAATGGTTTAATGAAATTTTTCTGTTATTAAATATTACCCTCTCACAAACTATGTCTGATGCCCAAATAACTATTAGGAATTACTGTCAAGTCAACTTAGTGTACTTTGATGTATAATATTGACAGGTAATTATAGCTATAATTCTTATCATGTAGTCCTTATTGTGTATATTATATTAGTAACTTATCTTTAAACAGACTATATGCCTTTAATACAAATACATTTAGTCTATCAGTTGCACTGCTCTCAATCAGAAGTTAATACAATCAAATATTCAGTGCTCACTTAATAAAAGTTACTTCTGGCTGGGCGCAGAGGCTCACGTCTGTAATCCCAGCACTTTGGGAGGCCAAGGCAGGTGGATCACCAAGGTCAGGAGTTTGAGAACAGCCTGACCAATATGGTGAAACCCCATCTCTACTAAAAATACAAAAATTAGCCAGGTGTGATGGCATGCGCCTGTAATTCCAGCTACTTGGGAGGCTGAGAAAGGAGAATTGCTTGAACCCAGGAAGTGTAGGCTGCCTTGAGCCGAGATTCTGCCCCTGCACTCCAGCCTGGGCGACAGAGTGAGACTCTGTCTCAAAAATTAATTAATTAATTAAAATTAAATAAAAATTATTTCTGAATGTGAGGACATGAAGTATTATATTCAAAAATAAAGCTGACTGGAACATGCAGAACAACAGAGGAAAGGGTTGAATTTCCCTTTACTTAGGAGATCCTTATTTAAGGGCAATTATGCTTGCCTGTCACAGGAGCAAAAAGAAAGCCTAAGTGAAACTTTACTGCAAGTGAGGGAAATGGTACTAGAATAGAAGGAAAATGCTTTGAATGGACGAAAATACTTTTAAAAAACAACAACAACAACAACAACATAGAATCAGCTGGGCACGGTGGTTCACACCTGCAATCCCAACACTTGGGGAGGCCAAGGTGGGCGGATCATGAGATCAGGAGATCGAGACCATCCTGGCTAACGCAGTGAAACCCCACCTCTACTAAAAATACAAAAAATTAACTGGGCGTGGTGGCACGCGCCTGTAGTCCCAGCTACTCAGGAGGCTGAGGCAGGAGAATGGCGTGAACCCAGGAGGCGGAGGTTGCAGTGAGCCGAGATGGTGCCACTGCACTCCAGCCTAGGTGACAGAGCGAGACTCCATCTCAAAAAAAAAAAAAACATAGAATCTATCATTCAATAGATAGAACTATGCTTCTTTAAAGTTCTGACCTATAGTAGTGGTTTTAAGGTACACCTGTACAAACATCTTTTATTAAATCTAATTACCGTCTCAATAAATTCTTTAAAGCGGCTAACATATGAAGAGAAGATGGCTCGCAGATTGCTAGGACCACAGAATGCAGCTGCCGTGTTTCAAGCTCAGAATGACAGTGGTGCACAAGACTCACAGGTAAATTAAAATGCTCTAAGTGGAGTATTTTTATTCTGTGCGATTTTTAAATGTCTGCTTTTCTAAATGCTTATAAATAGCATCTGAAATAAAAGTCGGTCAGTTCCATCTACAATTGGATACATAAAGAGACCATGATAAACATATACATGCAATTTTACCACATTTTACCCCATTTTCTGGTAGTTCTAATACCTGGATACACAATGTCACAAAAGTCAAAACACCAGAAGTCTCATGGTATTTTTCATCAGAACATTTATGGGTCAGTTAGACCTAGGACTCTCTATAGTGTCTACACGGACAGGGAATATATGGGTTGTGAACCTTCAATAGGACAGAAATTAAGATTCTAAATGAGAGTAACTATAACCGTTCTCACAAGCTGTTTAATATTTCAATGTTTTAAAATATACTTGTGGTACTAATGAAACATCCAATTCTGTTTGTTATATTCCTGTTTTCAAAAAATGCTTTCTGAAAACCAAAAAACAAAACAAAACAAAACAAAACTCTCATGAGCAATTGTTCCAAGATTAACAAATGTATCCTTTCCAAGAAGGGATTAACTTTATGGAGGCGTATCCCACAGGTTTGCACCTGATCGACTTTTTTTCTTTTTTTTAGACAGTCTTGCTCTGTCACCCAGGCAGGATGGAGTACAGTGGTGCAACCTCAGCTCACTGCAAACTCCACCTCCCGAGTTCAAATGATTCTCTTGCCTCAGCCTCTCAAGTAGCTGGGATTACAGGTGCACACCACCAGGCCCAGCTAATTTTTGTATTTTTAGTGGAGATGGGGTTTCACCATGTTGGCCAGGCTGGGGACACCTCAGCCTCCAAAAGTGCTGGGATTGTAGGCGTGAGCCACCACACTTGGCCTCAACTTAACAAGTAAACTTAACCCCAAAGAAAATGTACAGTCGGTGGCTGGGCATGGTGGCTCACGCCTGTAATCTCAGCACTTTGGGAAGCCAAGGCGGGTGGATCACAAGGTCAAGAGATTGAGACGATTGTGGCCAACATGGTGAAACCCAGACTCTACTAAAAATATGAAAATTAGCTGGGCGTGGTGGCACGCGCCTGTAGTCCCAGCTACTCGGGAGGCTGAGGCAGAAGAATCGCTTGAACCCAGGAAATGGAGATTGCAGTGAACCAAAATCGCTCCACTGTACTCCAGCCTGGGTGACAGAGCGAGACTCCATCTCAAACAATAAAAGAAAAATGTTCAGTTGGACAGGTAGACTGAATGTTAGCACTCTTTCTTCCTTCTGTAGTTACCTTTCATTCCCTCCAAAAAGTCCACAAGAAACTGGGAGCCAAAGAGATTAAACTAGGAACATAAGTATTCCTAGCATCCAAAGGCAGAAAACTGAAATTCAGTTTTTTTTTTTCCAACCTCGGCCTCCCAAGTTCAAGTGATTCTCGTGCCTCAGACTCCCGAACAGACAGGACTATAGGTGCGCGCACCATGCTGGCTAATTTTTGTATTTTTAGCAGAGACGGTGATTCACCATGTTACCCACGCTGGTCTCAAACTCCTGAGCTCAACTCATCCACCTAGCTCAGCCTCCCAAACTGCTAGGCACAGTGAAATGCAAAATATACACTACTTAATCAATTAGTTCTAATTTTCATAAATCCCTGATTTCATTCTCAAATAGAAATAATTTTCTGGTGTTCGGATATAAATCCTGTAAGATGTTTGCTTAAATATAACTTTATTAAACAGGAATTAATCTATTTTACAAAGCTTGTTCATAGCTCTACACATACCTTTTGTGAAGTCCATCAGGATTTTGTGCCATGAGCTAAAAAGAGAAGAATTTTCCAGTCTAATATGTGTTTACTGCTGTTGGTGCCACTTTTGAGCAGCAGGCATAATACCCTGTAACTACTGCCAATACAAGTGACTTCATGTCTATTCCTGTTTTACTAAAGGACAATCTGTACTCTGCGCTTTCATTTCAAATGCACCAGGGAGACACATCATCCTTTGTCATAAAATAGTCATCCGAAAAATGAACCACCATCAATTCCAAGTCTAGCTAATTTTCATAAATAATATTTGTTAAATAGTCCTATTAATTCTGGGCTTTCTTGCTAGAGTGGTAGTATATTAGTGTACTATATTTTAAGTGCTTAAAAGCTGAATGTATAGAACTTACCAGGGCTGTACAAATACAGCCAAAATAGGAATGTTCCCTTCAACTATACTTAATTCTGCTTCATTCAAGCTAACAATTGCATGTAAACATTCTTTCTTTGTTTTAATTTCAAGCAACACAACTCAGAATATGCGCGACTGCAAGTTCCTACATCACAAGTAAGGTAAAAATTTTTTAATTTTAAAGAAATGTATGTTTTCCTACCTAAAATATTTTCAGCTTAAAAAAATTAATATTTATAAAGCCCTCGAGCCTACTCTATATCTTTTAAAAAATACAATGTGTATTTTCTAATGTCTGAGATGACGACCAAAATTTTGACGTTAGTTATCAAAACTATCACAGGGGAATTTTTTAGTGTTTTGGTCAAATAGGCCAGGACCGTGCTTCTATATTAAACAATTTTCTCATGACAATGGAGACCCAATTCTAATTATACAATCTTTGGTGGTAAGAATAATCTACTGGGTACTGGGCATTTTAGTAGATCATTTCTTCATCAATTGATGGCACTGTAAAAGAGAAATTAAGATGTACAATTTGTACCAGGTATTTTTAAATTGCTACCATTTCTAATAGTCATCAAATATGCCACAGGTAAATACAGCCCTATGGCCTCTCTCCATTGTTATTACACTATCAGATCAAATAGTAGATTCTCTGGTTTCAAATTTGATGGCTAGGCTGGACGCGGTGGCTCACGCCTGTAATCCTAGCACTTTGGAAGGCCAAGGTGGGTAGATCACCTGAGGTCAGGAGTTCAAGACCAGGCTGATCAACATAGTGAAACCCCGTCTCTACTAAAAATACAAAATTAGCCAGGTGTAGTGGCACATGCCTGTAATTCCAGCTACTCGGGAGGCTGAGGCAGGAGAACCGCTTGAACCCAAGAGGCGGAGGTTGGTATAACTGAAATACATCTCTGAATATCACCATATACATGTTCACACCACCCCTATAGAAAAACGTCAAAAACTTAATTTGGATTTATTTATTTATTTTTGAGACAGACTCTCACTCTGTTGTCCAGGCTGGAGTGCAGCGACGTGATCTCGGCTCACTGCAACCTCCGCCTCCCAAGTTCAAGCGATTCTCCTGCCTTAGCCTCCCGAGTGAGCTGAGATTGAGCCACTGCACTCCAGCCTGGGCAACAAGAGTGAAACTCCATCGCAAAAAAAGTGAAGTTGATGGCTAAACTATATTTGTGCAAAATGAAAAGCAATGATAATATTTACACATAGTTGTTATCAAAATATTCTTGTAGAAGTAGATCATCCTCAAGGGGAGATGTGAATGATCAGGATGCAATCCAGGAGAAATTTTACCCACCACGTTTCATTCAAGTGCCAGAGAACATGTCGATTGATGAAGGAAGATTCTGCAGAATGGACTTCAAAGTAAGAGAAGAGTTCAAAAGTACTGGGGGAAAATTAACAATGGGGTACTGTTTTGAAAAATGTCCTTTTCCTACTTCATAGCTTGCAAAGCAGTACGTACCATGTACAATGGACAAGAACACAAATTCTGAAGCCAAACTGATGTGGGTTTGAATTCTGGCTCTGCCACTTTCCAGCTGAGCAACCTTAGACAAGTCATTTAACCTCTCTGTGCTTTTGTCTCCTCATCTGTAAAATGGGATAACAAATACCCCAAAAAGTTATGAGGATTAATCGAGTAAATAGGTATACCTCATAAATACTCTTTATAAGTGAAGCTATCAGAACAATAGAATTTTTAAACTATAATGCCTTTTTTTTTTTTTTTTTTTTTTTTTTGAGACAGGGTCTTGCTCTGTCACCCACGCTGGAGTGCAATGGTGCAATCTCAGCTCACTGCAACCTGTCTTCCAGGTTCAAGCCATCCTCCCACCTCAGCCTCCCTAGCAGCTGAAACTACAGACACGTGCCACCATGCCCAGCTAGTCTAGAACTCCTGGGTTCAAGGCGATCCACTCACCTTGGCTTCCCAAAGTATTGGGATTACAGGCGTAAGCCACTGTGCCCAGGCTTAACGTATAATGTCTCTCCAATTCTCCTCTATCAAGAAATTCATGCCACCCTGCTTTCTCTTGCCCTAAAAGAGTCCCTCAGACTAGGAAAGCTCTTTAGAAGAGGTTATATTTTTATTATCCTTATTTTGGAGAACTTTTCATTATAAATTTTTTTTTTCAGATTCCTTATGAACTAAAGTTAGTGTTAAAGCTTTGGATTTCATTAACAGTTCATGTAAAAACACTTAACAAATTGCCATTTATATGCCAAACTATAGCTCAAGAACACTCTGTTCTAGAAAAATTACTCATTAGATCAGCAAGCCTCATATATATGTGCCTCTGTGACTTCATTTGCAGTCACATTTAGCCAGAAAAGCAATATGACTTCTATATTCCTTATAGAAACCAACGTAACATAAATTAATGTTCTAAGTATAGTAATTAAGAGTTCATAAAGAGACTGAGGTTGCATGTAAAACAGTTATGGTTTGAGATAGTCTAAAAATACTATATTAATTTCAAGGATCTTATTTTCCAATGTTTTGTTTAAAAAAGTATAAATACCTTTTGAGCCCTTGCTTTGCATTTCAATCACAAACCCACTCAGATACGGGAACTGTTTAAATTCATATATGGACAAATAGGTTTCAGTGATGCAATACTTTAAAATTCTACCATTTCCTTGTGTTTTTCTTTCTAGGTGAGCGGACTGCCAGCTCCTGATGTGTCATGGTATCTAAATGGAAGACCAGTTCAATCAGATGATTTGCACAAAATGATAGTGTCTGAGAAGGGTCTTCATTCACTCATCTTTGAAGTAGTCAGAGCTTCAGATGCAGGGGCTTATGCATGTGTTGCCAGGAATAGAGCAGGAGAAGCCACCTTCACTGTGCAGCTGGATGTCCTTGGTAAGCCTCCAAAAAGACCCTTGAGAATTCCTTAAAATCCAGAAGTATTGAAAAAAAGAAGGTATTTTAAAAGAAAAGCCCAGCAGACTTCATAATTAAGGTTAATGTCTACACAACCTATTGGACTGTCCATTTTTATCTGCAAACCACAGGAAAAAATATACATATATATACACACATATACACATACACACACACACACACACACACACACACATATATGTAAAGGAAAGTCAGTGAAATTAGAATGATAGATCTATCACCAAAGCTTTTCTGGAAAGAAAATAAGTCATACAATTTTAGACAAACCAAATAAGGAAGCATAAGCATTTCTAGATGTAACTATAGAGTCTCAAAATAAAAATCTTAGTCTAATCATTTCTCTGGTCTTTGTTTCTCCAAAATGAGGATAATAAAAATAATCAATCTGACTCATGATATTATGGAATTATCATAATCTGTCATAATGTTAAATACATAGTTTAAAACTGAAGAGTAGCAAGGGTATAGTGACTCAGGCCTGTAATCCCAACACTTTAAGAGGCGCCAAGGTGGGAGGATCACTTGAGCCAAGGAGTCTGAGACCAGCGGGGTAACAAATAGCAAGACCTTCTTTGTCTCTACAAAAAATAAAAAAAGTTAGCTGGGCATAGTGGTGCCAGCTACTAGAGAGGCTAAGGTGGGAGGATAACTTGAGCCTGGAGTTTGAGGTTACAGTGAGCTATGATTGCACCATTGCACCACTGTACTCTGGCCTGGGTGACAGAGTAAGACCTTGTTTTAAAAAATTTCTTTAAAAATTAAGAGTAAATATCAACTTTTAATCTTAGACTATGTCCTTTTTACTAGGAAACTAATCTCTAATTATAACCAAAACAGGCCTACTTGCTTTAGAAAACAGGTATGGCTACATTTATGTCTCAAATCTGTCTTAAGTAGGGCAGTTCTTATAAAACTAGTGTCTGGTTTTTAAATTTTACACTTTAAGTGCTTTAAATATACAAGTTGAGTATCCCTAATCCAAAAATCTGAAATCTTTAAGATGCTCCAAAATCGACATGACACACAAAGGAAATGTTCATTAGAGCATTCTGGATTTTCAGATTAAGGATGCTCAACAAGTATAACGCTAATATTCTAAAATTTAAAAAAAATCAGAAATCCAAAACACTTCTGGTCCCAAGCATTTCAGATAATGGATACTCAACCCATACCACATTTTTAATACTTTAAACCATTGTATATTGCATAAGAGATATTTTGCTATAATTCACTGTTTATTATACAAAAGTTTTATCAGGTTAAAGGATAAACTATTTCTTGAGTTTATATTCCACCCAGATCAATACAAAAATCTTTAAGATTATTCCATAATATACCAAAGGACCTCAATCTAAGGGAAAAACTAGTGAGCTGGAAATTTTCAAAAACACATACAATTTAAGTGATTAAAGTTTAGGCAAATCTTATTTGTACCAATTGCTTCAGAAATACTACAATAGTAGAGCTGAAAGAGATCTTGGCTGCCATCTGTTTAATCTCATCTCTCCTTCAGAAAAATCAGGGTTATGGTACTGAACTATCCTTTCCTCTCTCCCCTCAGGTAGGAAAACAAGGTCATAATAATTACTGATATTCCCATATTCCTTCACAGTTTACAAAGTATCTCTTCGTTTATTATCTCATTTGTTCCTTACAACTATTTTGTGTGGTAGACACAACAGTTACTACTACCTGGATTTTTTTTTTAAACAATAGATAAAACTGAGACTCAGAGAAACTAAACAAAATTTTATCAGTTTTGCATGGCTCGTGGAGCCACTAGGTAATTTGAACCCAAGTTGTCTGATACTCTTTGCATCACTCATGCCGCCTCCCTGTAGATGAGATGATTAAAAAATACAACTTAAATTTGGGCCAGGCGCAGTGGCTCATGCCTGTAATCCCAACACTTTACGAGGCTGAGGTGGGCAGATCACTTGAGGCCAGGAGTTAAGAGATCAGCCTGGCTAACATGGCAAAACCCCATGTCCACTAAAAAAATACAAAAATTAGCCGGGTGTGGTGCACGCCTGTAATCCTAGCTACTCAGGAGGCTGTGGCAGGAGAATTCCTTGAACCTGCGAGGCGGAGGTTGCAGTGAGCCAAGATCGCACCACTGCGCTCCAGCCTGGGCAAAAGAGCGAGACTTCGCCTCAGAAAAAAAAGAATATGACTTAAGTTTTAATGAAATAAAATTATCTGATTATCAATTCAATGAATCATTACATTAGAGTTTAGAATTCTGAACGGTATAATAAAATAGTATTGCATGTCTTTTTAACTAAAAGTTTCTAATTCTGTTGCTGTTGGTTTTAACATTTTAATATCAACATACAAATTTCATAATGATTTAATACCTTTTTTACAATATTTCAAACACTTGAATTTTTGTATTAATATATAGCAAAAGAACATAAAAGAGCACCAATGTTTATCTACAAACCACAGAGCAAAAAAGTTTTAGAGGGAGACTCAGTGAAACTAGAATGCCAGATCTCGGCTATACCTCCACCAAAGCTTTTCTGGAAAAGAAATAATGAAATGGTACAATTCAACACTGACCGAATAAGGTAGGATATGTATTTCTAGACTTACTATAGTTTATTTGGGTGAATCCAGTTATACTTTTTAACATGCATTATAAATGGCATGCATTTATCTCAATTTGTCTAGTTTTTAAAACACTAAAGAATAATATAATAAAATATATATTAGATAATAAATATAAGAAAACTTCAGTAAGCCAGATTCCACTAATCAGAAATGTAAGGCATAAAGCAGACTAGGATTTATCTTTTTATCAGTGATGATGAAAGATGGCTCAAGGAAATAAATGACATAAACAAGATTAAAGGGAGATATTTTCTTTTCTTTTCTTTTCCTTTTTTTCTTTACAAAAAGCTTCAGCCTTTATTAAACAAAGGAGGAGGCAGGAGACAGATAAGGGAACAGGTCAGAACCCCTCCGGTTCCCCTATACATACACATAAATACAAACACAGACACACGCGAGTGAATGACAGAGACCATCAGGGATCAGGGGACAGACTGAAGGGAGAGGGAGACAGCACCCAAGGGGGGATGTTTAATTCAAGAAAACCAATAGCTATTTGGCAATAAATAGATACAGCTTCGGAATTTTCAAATGTTTTTTTCTTCTCAGTCTGACTGTAGGTCAGAGACATCCACTTCCCAGAAATAATTCCTGTACTTCCATTTCTTAAAAATTTTTTTTCAGCTTATATCAAGATAACACTGGAAGAGTTACTTTACTGATAAAAGATGTAAACAAGAAAGATGCTGGGTGGTATACTGTGTCAGCAGTTAATGAAGCTGGAGTGACCACATGTAACACAAGATTAGACGTTACGGGTATGTCATACTATTAACCAAAGTATTATAAGGGATTTAACTAGGAAGATTTCATAAGAAATGCAAATTCCAGCAGAGTATAAACGTTGAGAGATTTTCCCTATATATAATCAGCTTTGGTTCTTTTTTCTTTTCCTGTCTGATAATAAATACCTAGGTGTCCAATTTGGTTAGAACAGGTTTTCTGAATCAACTTTTATGTGATCTATTTCAGCACGTCCAAACCAAACTCTTCCAGCTCCTAAGCAGTTACGGGTTCGACCAACATTCAGCAAATATTTAGCACTAAACGGGAGAGGTTTGGATGTAAAACAAGCTTTTAACCCAGAAGGAGAATTTCAGCGTTTGGCAGCTCAATCTGGACTCTATGAAAGTGAAGAACTTTAATAACTTTACCAACATTGGAAAACAGCCAACTACACCATTAGTAATATAATTGATTACATTTTTTTGAAATTAATCCATAGCTGTATTAACAGATTATGGTTTTAATTAGGTAATATAGTTAATATATATTTATAATATTATTTATCCTTTGACTCTTGCACATTCTATGTACTCCTCCAATTTGTGAAGCCTACAGGAAATCTGGGTATATGGATTTGTAACTGTAGAAAACCATCTTAAAATACAGGATTTTAACATTTAAGTCATATACATTTAACAATTACAGGTTATAAATTAGTATCAACTTTTTAAATACATCTAATGCTTGTAATAACGTTTATTGGTACTGCTTTCTAAATACTGTTTTGCCCGTTTTCTCTTGTAGGAATACTAACATGGTATAGATTATCTGAGTGTTCCACAGTTTTATGTCAAAAGAGAATAAAATTCAAATATTTAAAACGGACTGTCTCCTCTTCACAAAAGTCTAGATCTGTAAAATAAAACTCCACTCAGCAAAACCTATGAATAACAAGTTCCAAAAGAGGAATGTTATATTCTAGAACAGTGTGAAGCTCACTTACAGCTCAGCCAATTCCTCTAGAAAACTGAGCTAGACTTTCCATGGTTTGCACTTCAAAGGCAACCACGATTAACTTAAATCATGACTGAATCTACCGAATTTGTGATTTTGTTTTAACCAAACAGGTCTCTAATTCTTCAGGATTTTTCAGTCTGTTATGCTCAAAGGAATAAGAATAGTCTCTAGAGGTCACCTGCTTAATTCTCATAGTTAATGTAAATTTGACAGCCCTGTAGTCCCAGCTGCTGGGAGAGGTTGAGCTGGGGACCCCTTAAGATCAGGAGTTTGAGGCCATACTGGGAAACATAGGGAGACTCCCTCTCTAAAAAAAAAAAAAAAAAAACTATTATGTAAATTTGAATACCTATTTATGGGTGTTTTTCCTCCAATAATTTCAATTTCAGATAACCTCTTACTTTAGAAAGCATAATTTTATGAACTGCTGAGAGTCCCAGTACAGGAAAGCCCAAATCCTTTTGTTAAAACTATTCCAAAGCTTTTTTCCCTCTCGGGCCTCTAGTTCACTGGCTGTCAGCCTTTTGCGAGGCCTCTCCTGTTCCTCTCATCAATGGTAGTTTTTGACCCTCACTACTGTGTGGCCCAGTTTTGCTTTTTATCTACACATAAAACAGCATTTATCGACATCATTCTACATCTCTTTCAGGGAAATAACAAAAGTGGCTTTCTGTTTTACTTTCAAAACTGTTTAGTGTTTTCTTTGCAGGTTTCCCTGCGGCCTTTGGACTGGATTCCATTTTATTTTCCTTTTTATCAACACGAGAATCCGTCCTGGTCTTACATTCTGGAGGGTTTTTGGCTGCCTTAATTTACAGCCAAATTAGTTTGGCCTTTTCTATAGCTGGTTTACCAACCTTCTCATCTTTGCAAAGCTTCTGGGTCAGATATGGGTCTGGGCTCCCAAGGACTCCTGTTTTGGCCTGCCCTTTCGCATCATCACCGCAGGGTTTTTCATCTATTTTTACATTAGTGGGGCAGGAGAGTGGAAGCTACTTCCAGCAACAGCTCTCGGTTAATAACCAGTTTCTGCAAGTAGCAGCAGCAGCAGCAGCAGCGTGGGGTCACGGTTAGGCATTTGGGCTTGGGCATCCAACAGACTTGGCCCCAACTTTCAGTGAATTATTTCATTTCTCAGCGTCTCGGTTTCTTCAGGCCTAAAATGAGGACAAAAATACCTACCTTTCACGGAGGTGGATGTGCAGACTAACAAGGCGATAAATGTTAAAGGTATTCGAGAAAGAGAAGCCCGTGATAATGAATGATACGATTTTTAAGCCCACAGCCAGGTTATTCCCAAAAGTTGGCCCTCCGCACCAAACCCCCGCAGCCCGCAGCCCGCAGCCCGCCTAGGGCGAAGGGCCGCCCGGGCCCCTGCGGCGCAGCGGCGCAGAAGACTTCTTGAGTAGCTCGCGCAAGCGTCAGAGCGGGGCAGCGCGCTCCGCGAGAGCAGCGCGCAAGCGCCGCGGCCCCGGGCGAACGAACTGGCGGTGTAGTGCAGGTCCGCCATGGCTGAGGCGTCACGGTGGCACCGAGGCGGTGAGGGATGCTCTTAAGGAATGGGAGGGACAGGGGCGATTTGGCAGTTCCAGACACCCTGAAAAGAACTCTACGGCCCCAAATTCAATTCATGTGAGAGATGTGACTGCCGACACCTTTTTTTTTTTTTTTTTTTTTTTTGAGACAGAGTCTCACTCTGTCGCCCAGGCTGGAGTGCAGTGGCATGATCTCGGCTCACTGCAAGCTCCGCCTCCCGGGTTCACGCCTTTCTCCTGCCTCAGCCTCCCGAGTAGCTGGGACTGCAGGCGTCCGCCACCACGCCCAGCTAATTTTGTGGGCGGGGGGGGGTGTTTGTTGTTGTTTGTTTTTTGGTTTGTTTTTTTTTTTTTAGGAGAGACGGGGTTTCACCGTGTTAGCCAGGATGGTCTCGATCTCCTGACCTCGTGATTCGCCCGCCTTGGCCTCCCAAAGTGCTGGGATTACAGGCGTGAACCACCGCGCCCGACTTGCCGACACCTTTAGCCCTCACAGCCTCCCCTAGAGAAGCGGAGAGGGACAGATGGTCCCATTGCACAGACGGGAAAACTGAAGCCCTGAGCGTCGGGGCGCTCGCCTCTTGCCGAAGGCTCGAGCTGGGCGTTGTCACCTGCTGTCGAGTGACGGTCGGTCACTAGGCTGGTCTCTAAAGTCCTTTGTTGATCTCGGGAGTCGTGACCTTGACAGAATTCAAGCCAGGGTGCTTTTTCCCTCTCCAGCAGAAACCAGCCTTCCCAAGAAGCGGTGTTGAGGGGTGGAGAAAACGGTTAGGACAGATGAGAGGTTTAGCTTGTTTTGTATTTTGCTTTTTCATCTTAGGACTGTTGAGAAGACATCATGATATAAAAAATGTTAGTGGCCGGGCGCAGTGGCTCACTCCTGTAATCCCAATACTTTGGGAGGCCGAGGCGGGCGAATCACGAGGTCAAGAGATCGAGACCATCCTGGCCAACATGGTGAAACCCCATCTCTAATAAAAATACGAAAATTAGCTGGGCGTGGTGGCGGGCGCCTGTAGTTCCAGCTACTCGGGAGGCTGAGGCAGGAGAATCGCTTGAACCCGGGAGGCGGGGTTGCAGTGAGCCGAGATCGCACCACTGAACTCCAGCCTGGCAACAGAGCTAGACTCCGTCTCAAAACAAACAAAAAAAATTGTTGTTGATAGTATATAGTAAAAAAATTATCCCTGCCTCGTAAAGCTGAGAATTGAAAAATAGCCATAAGCTATTGGAGCTTTCCTCCCCGCAGTGTAAGGACTAAAAGTGGTTGTGGTTTTTCCATTGTTGTCACTTAATAAACATAAATTACATAATAATGTAAAGAAAAATTTTGTCTTATATCTCACAGGGGCTTCGAAACATAAGCTGCATTACAGAAAGGAAGTAGAAATTACCACCACACTTCAGGAATTGTTACTCTACTTTATTTTTTTAATAAACCTATGTATATGTAAGTACACAGATATAAAGGTGTTGTTTGAACTAAGAAGTTAAAATGTGGAGATGAAAAATAAAACATATAGACTTCGAAACCATAGGCTATCAGGCTACTAAAACTCAAAATACAGTGACACCATTTAAACATAATCTTAGATTGATTTAGATTCATTTCATTTAGAAATTGACTATTTCCAGTTCTTAAGAGGCAAAATTTTACATCACAAATGCAAGAAGCTTCCATAGTCAATATTGATTGAATTTTAATGATTCCTTTCATTTGGCAGTTCTGTCTTGAACATAATTCATCCCTTCGGTTGGCAACTGCGATTTGATTTTGTTTAGAGTCATATAGACACATCAGCTGAGTTTCATAAAATCAAAGTACAAATGAGGCCAAAGTTCATCTTGGTGTCTGCCATTAGCATGGTTCTTTTCACTCACCTATTGCAGTTAAAAAAAATACGTTTGTGCTGAGTCAATGCAAATAATTAAGGAGGACTGGGAAAGCATCTCAACCTGCATTCCTCCTGCCTGTGGGTCAATAGCATCAGCTTAATATGCAAAGAGGAGTATTAAAGAGCATTTGTCTTTATGACACCCAACATACAGTAGATGAAAGCTCACTGGCAGCATTTATCTCATGTTGGTACGTGCTACACACTGGCAATTGTATAGCAATTAAATAATTGGTGTTGTAGGGGTGAGTTTGAGTCTGCTCTTGATTGAAAAGACAGCTATAAAACTAGCGAGGTGGCACACCCCTGTAGTCCTAGCTACTGGGAAGGCTGAGGTGGAAGATTCCTTGAGCACAGGAGGTCAAGGCTGCAGTGAACTGTGATTGCAACAACTGCACTTCAACCTGCATGACAGGCTGAGACCCTGTCCCAAGGAAAAAAAAAAAAAAGATAACTGTAGGCAACTTGATAAGGTATCTTAGACTGCTTTATAAAAGCTTAGTTATGAAAACTACATGCTTACTATAGAATATTTGGAAAATATAAAAATATAAGTAAAAAGATCATTTATAATCCCATTATTCAGAGATTTTTAAAGAACACTTTTTTAATATAATAAAGCAACCTGAATCTCCATTTATAATGTGATTTTTTTTCTTTTTTCTTTTTTTTTTTTTTTTTTTTTTTTTTGAGACAGTCTTGCTCTGTCACCCAGGCTGGAGTACAGTGGCTTACTGCAACCTCCACCTCCTGGGTTCCAGCGATTCTCCTGCCTCAGCCTCCAGAGTAACGGATTACAGGCCTGCACCACCACACCCGGCTAATTTTGTACTTTTTTAGTAGAAACGGGGGTTTCACCATGTTGGTCAGCTGGTCTCCAACTCCTGATCTCAGGTGATCCACCCACCTCAGCCTCCCAAAGTGCTGGGATTACAGGTGTGACACCATGCCCCGCCACTAGTTAATATTTTTAAAAACTCATCGTGTGCTAAAACACAGTTTAAAATGTTCTATGTGCGTCATCTCACTTCTCACAACAAAACTAGGAGGTAAGAGATACTATCCCTGTGATGGGACTCACACCCTTATCTGTCTGAGTTCAAAGTCCGTATAATCTTAATCACTCACAGTACTGTACTGCCTTACTTTCACGTAGAGAAAAAGTCAACCTGCAGAATAGTGTGTAGAATGTGTCTTCATTTTTGTAAAGATAAAATTATTTTCTTTATAAGTGTGCATGCATAAAGAAATATCTGAAGAATATTTGCCAAACTAATTCTAGAAACTACATCCTACGTTTTATATTTTTAGTTTAGAGTTTTTTAATGATTACTTTTATAATTAGATAAAATAATAAAGTTTAATTTTCAAAATTAGGAACAAAATATAACATGTTTAATCCTGATAAGCTGAGTTTTTAAATGTAAATTATTAAACAAAAAATTCTTCTCCTTAGTGACTTTTGGGATGGTAAACCCACATATGTATTACTTAAACAAGGTTATGTCATCTCTATTTTTGGACACTTCTGTGCCTGGTGAAGAAAGAACCAACTTTAAGTCTATTCGCAGCATAACTGATTTTTGGAAGGTAAAGTATCTTGTGACTGTGGATGAAGTAGATTTAGGTAGTCCATGAACCCTGGCATACATAGTGGGCACTCAATGAATATCTCTTGAAGGAACAAATAAAAATAAATGTCATTTCTTTAAACTATTAGAAACAACCAGCCAGTGTTTATTGAGAGCCTGTGTTCTCAGTTTGATACTCTTCTTGTAATTTTTTAAAAATTGATTTTTTTTGGCCAGGCACGGTGGCTCACGCCTGTAATCCCAGCATTTTGGGAGGCCAAGGTGGGTGGATCACCTGAGGTCAGGAGTTCGAGACCAGCCTGACCAACATAGTGAAACCTCGTATCTACTAAAAAATACAAACATTAGCCGGGCATGGTGACAGCCACCTGTAATCCTGGGAGTTGGAGGTTGTAGTGAGCCAAGATCATGCCATTGCGCTCCAGCCTGGGCAACAGAGCAAGGCTCCATCTCAAAAAAAAAAAAAATTGATTTTTTTAAACGTTCCCATTTCATTTGTTAAATAGAAGACTTGCATCTTATGTGAGGGTTAGGATCTAGTCTGTAATTGTGTATAGTGAAATTTACTTTGAAAAAGTTCTTTAATTGCCCAGAAAGTGTAATATATGTGGTTTTGGCATACAAGCCTTTACTGTGTATATGTGTTATGGTAAGGTACAGTATATAATAAAATGTACATATAAGAATATAATTTCATGGTATTTTTACTTACGTAAGGAATCATTCCTTCAGCAGTGGAATAGACTTGCTTTTTCCATTATATTTAACATAGCAACATGCTCACATTATGAGGAAAGAACAGTTAAGGGAACAGCAGTTTCAGCTCTCCCAGGTCACAAAACCTGGCATATGCACATTGGGGCATATAAGGACAAGGCAAAGAAGGCTTCCAGTGGTGATGACAATTAGTTGCATTTTGAAGCATGAATCAGGGATGGGTATTTTAGGAAGAAGGAACAATATGTTCTGTAAGTAATTCTACATGTGGAGCTATGTTTGGTATTGTGAGCATATGGAAGATGAGGTGGAAAAGGCCAAAGTATGAATTGGACAGAGGTCATATCATGAATGCTGTGCAGGAATTTGAAACTTACCAAGGAGACAGGGTCATTTCCTGAAAGAGGGCAAGTGTGAGATGAGGGCTAAATGATCCTAGATGGTTGGTTTAGGCTAGGTGAAATAGGAAACAATAATAAAAGAAGTGGAGGTCACCCTGCCACTTTGTTACTGTGTTTTCTGAAGCATGTATGTGGACAATGACAGAGAAGACAAAGGGAGGAAGTAAATGAACCCTGGGCTTGGGATCTCTTAGAACGATCAGCAAAGGGCAAAGCCAGGAGTAGCAGGCACCATGGCCAGAGTTGGGGAGGAGGGTTAGGAGGAGGGGTACAGACAACTTTGGAGTGAAGTCATGATGTGTGGCTATGACCAGCTCTGACACTCATGTATTGGAAGAAAATTTTAATTTACTCGTATAAGGAGAGAAGAAGGGCTACGGGATTCAATGAGTTAATGCTTATAAAGTGCTTAGAGCAGTGCCTAGTACACAGTACATGCTTAATGAGTGTTAACCATCCACAGTAGCTTCATTAGCATTACCATTACCATTAATGGTAGCTTGATCAACAGTTTGATTTTCATACTCAAAATCTCTTATGCATAATGTTATGAATGTAGATTCTATAGACATGAAAATATTTTTCCCATGACATTTGTTTTTCTATATGAAGTTTATGGAAGGACCCCTTTTGGAAGGTCTGTACTGGGATTCATGGTACAATAACCAGCAGCTGTATAATTTAAAGAACAGCAGTCGCATCTACTATGAGAATATACTTCTGGGAGTCCCCAGAGTTCGTCAACTAAAAGTCCGCAACAACACATGCAAAGTCTATTCATCTTTTCAGTCTTTGATGAGTGAATGTTATGGCAAATATACTTCTGCAAATGAAGACCTCTCTAATTTTGGCCTTCAAATTAATACTGAGTAAGTAGCATAAAATTATACTTTTTCTAGCATTTACCATTGTATCTTTTAGATGTGTGTCTTCCAAGTAACACCAGCTGGGTCCTGGAAGGGTAAGGAGACTGTTTCAACAGTAGTAAAAAAGGAAGATTTGGAGATAGCAGTGTTTAGAAAAGGAAGGGTGAACCTATTATTTTTTGTTTACTTTAGGATGCAAAGTGTTTCTTTTTTCTGACTTTGGTATATGAAGTGCTTAGTCATATTGGACACAGGGCAAAGCACCAATTTTTGCTTCTAAAATGTTCAATTAATCTGCTTTTTTGGCTGTGGCTAGATGCCCACAACACATCCCCAAGACGATCTGGGATCCTTAGTGGGTGTCTTAGTTGTGCTCTGTCACTTTCCTCCTCTCTTACTCTGGCTTCCTTCAGTGATTTTTTTCTGTTGCTGCTCCTACTAAAATCGGGCAGTTATGCTCTACAGGGACTGCATCTGATGATGCTTGCCAAAGATGCTATGGCGTGTTTCAAAGTGACTGAGGCTAGTGCTGGTGTAGACTCATGTGTACACTTTGTATTGAAAATGTGAGGCCAGACATGGTGGCTCACACCTGTAATCACAGCACTTTGGGAAGCCAAGGAAGGAGGATTGCTTGAGGGCAGGAGTTCAAGACTAGTCTGGGCAACATACTGAGACCCAGTCTCTACAGAAAATTTAAAAATTAGCCAGGTGTGATGGGGCTTACCTGAAGTCCAAGGTACTCGGGAGGCTGATCCAGGAGGATCACTTGAGCCCAAGAGGTTGAAGCTGCAGCAAGCTATGATCACACCACTGCACTCCAGCCTGGGCAATAGAGGGAGACTTTGTCCCTAAAAAAAAAAGAAGGAAATGTGCCACTGGCACTAGCTTACCTTGACACAGAAGCTGCTGGTATCAGTGCTACACACACTTTGTGCTTTTAGAACCTTATGAAAATCATTGGCTCACACCTGTAATCCCAGCACTTTGAGAGGCTGAGGCGGGTGGATCATTTGAGGTCAGGAGTTTGAGACCAGCCTGGCCAACATGGTGAAACCCCGTCTCTACTAAAAATAGAAAAATTAGGCAGGTGTGGTAGCGGACATCTATAGTCCCAGCTACTCAGGAGACTGAGGCACAAGAATCACTTGAACCCAGAAGGCAAAGGTTGCGGTGAACCGAGATCACGCCACTGCGCTCTGGCCTGGGCGATAGTGTGAGACTCAGTCTCAAAAAAAAAGGCCAGGTGCAGTGGCTCACGCCTGTAATCCCAGCACTTTGGAAGGCCGAGGCAGGCGGATCACCTGAGGTCAGGAGTTCAAGACCAGCCTGGCCAACATGGTGAAACCCCATCTCTACTAAAAATACAAAAATTACCTGGACATGGTGGCACACGCCTGTAATCCCAGTTACTTGGGAGGCTAAGACAGGAAAATCGCTTGAACCCTGGAGGCAGAGGTTGCATTGAGCCAAGATCACGCCACTACACTCCAGCCTGGGCAAGAAAGAGCAAAACTCCATCCCCCCCTCAAAAAAAAAAATTATAGGGAGAAGAGAATGAACATTTTTTATAATTTAATATTTATTAAAGCAATACGAATATCTACAAAGGTCTACCCTTTCCTACTCATAATTTCCACTCTCCAGAAGCAGCTACTTTCAGCTCTTTTATAGTTGTTTCTTCTGGTATATACTTTTTCTTTCTAAATTACATCCTCATACTGCTACCTTACACTTGATTTTACAGTTTTGTTTTTTTTTTTTTTTTTTTTCCTTTAGGGGCAGGATCTCACTGTCTTGCTCAGGCTGGAGTGCAGTGGTGCAATTATAGTTCACTGCAGCTTCAAACTGCTGACTCAGGCAATCCTCCTGCCTCAGTCTGCTGAGTAGCAGCTAGGACTACAGGAATAAACCACCACACCTGACTAGTTTTTTTTATTTTTTGTAGAAACAGGGTCTTTCTACGTTACCCAGGCTGATCTCAAATTCCTGGTCTCAAGTAATCCTCCCACCTTGCTCTTCCGAAGAGCTGGGATTACAGGTGTGAGCCGCTGCACCCAGCCTCTGTTGTTTTTCTATCATGGAAGGCGATCTGTCATATAGCTCTCTTATGCTACCCCATCTACACACACTCCTCCTGTTCCTCTTAGCATCTCAATATAGTTATATCATAATTATTGTCAATCATTAGTCAATGTTTATATTATAAATATGAATAATGATTATATTTCCTTTCTTGAACAACTTCTCTTGAACTCCCAGGATTAATTATTGCTGGGGTTTTGTTTTTTTTTTTTTTTAACTTGTTTCTTCTTTGTATGAGTTTTTAGTGTTCTTGAGGACTTGTATGATTCTTATAAATCGAATACATTCATAAGTATGATGATACATTATTATGGCCAGGCGCAGTGGCTCACGCCTGTAATCCCAGCACTTCGGGAGGCCAACGTGGGTGGATCACCTGAGGTCAGCAGTTCGAGACAAGCCTGACCAACATGGTGAAACCCTGTCTCTACTAAATACAAAAAAAAAAATTAGCCGGGCATGGTGGTGCATGCCTGTAGTCCCAGCTACTTGGGAGGCTGAGGCAGGAGAACTGCTTGAACCCAGGAGGCGGAGGATGCAGTGAGCCAAGGAGGATGCAGTGAGAACTGCTTGAACCCAGGAGGCGGAGGATGCAGTGAGTGCACCATTGCACTCCAGCCTGGGCAACAAGAGCAAAATGCTGTCTAAAAAAAAACAAAAAAGAAAAATTATTATTATTATTTTTGAAACAGGGTCTCGCTGTGTCACCCAAGCTGCAGTGCAGTGAAGATCATAGCTCACTGCAGCCTTAACCTCTGGGGCTCAAGCAATCCTCCCACCTCAGCCTCCCAAGTAGCTGGGACTACAGGCACATGGCACCACACCCAGATAATTTTTGTATTTTCTGCCGAAATGGGATATCACCATGTTGCCCAAGCTGGTCTCAAACTCCTGGGCTCAAGTAATTCGCCTGCCTTGGCCTCCCAAAGTGCTGGAATTACAGGTGTGTGCCACCACACCCAGCCCATTCTCTTAACTATTATAGTACTATTTACTTTCTTTCAACCCCAAATTACAAGATAAAGCAATTATTTACACATTATTAATTGGAATCCTAAGACTACTCTTTTAAGTGTTTTAATATTCCAAATTCTCATAACAAGTACAAATACTTTATTAAATACCAAAATTAACACTATCAATTAGGTTTATTTTATAATCTCTATACTTTACTGGAATTGTGAATTAATACCTGTTAATCCTCAACAATGAAAAAAGAATCAATTTTGCTTGTCTAAAATGTAAAATTCACTAATTAAAAACAAAACATTGGAAGCTAGGAGAGATCTGGTGCAACAGATCTTCCTGTTTCCACTTAATAGTTGTGTGTGGAAAACACTCAAAAATACAACTATGGAAGTTTCATTAAAACATAGGTATTTTTTCCTAGTGGTGTCTCTTTCCCTCCCTGCTGTAGTGTTAGTAGTAGAACAGGTTTAAGCAGTGCATCTTTGAATAACCTTTCAAATCTGTTTTGGGGGAACTGAATAGAGAGACTGAAATGAGGAATCAAAGCTTTCCTTTTTTGGATATCCTGTAATTAAGTTAAAAATTAAAAAGAAGAAACAAAAAAATTTTTTTTTCTATTTTTGAGACAGAGTCTTACTCTGTCACCCAGACTGGAGTGCAGTGGCGCGGTCTTAGCTCACTGCAGCCTCCGCCTCTTGGGTTCAAGAGATTCTCGTGCCTCAGCCTCCCAAATAGCTGGGATAATAGGCATGCACCACCACGCCCAACTAATTTGTGTGTTTTTAGTAGAGATGGGGTTTCACCACGTTGGCAAGGCTGGTCTCAAACTCCTGGCCTCAAGTGATCCGCCCACCTCAGCCTCCCAAAGTGCTGGGATTACAGGCGTAAGCCACTGCACCCAGTCCAAAATTTAGTTATACACAGTTTACTTTGATTTTTATGTACTTTCATTAAAATATCTACGTAACAACATGGACATTGTAACAAAGTTTTTATTGAGCATTTATAAACAATATATTACATTTACAAGACAGTTATGAAACACCTTTTTTACCCATTTCTGAGCCAAAACTCTTAATAGTTTTGTCCTACTCAAAGACTAAATATCTCATAACAGAAACAACCTGTTAAAGAAAAAAACCAGTCGTCATTTTCTAGATTCTAAGCTCCCTGAGACGATTCTAAGCTCCGTGAGACAACAGATGGATTTTTTTGTTTTTTTAGAGAGGGGATCTCGCCATGTGACCTACGCCACAGTGCAGGGACTATTCACAGGCACCATCATCGACACTGCAACCTCAAACTCCTGGCCTCAAGCAGTCCTCTCATCTCAGCCTCCTGGGTAGCTGGGACTATAGGCATATGCCACCACACCTAACAGATGGATTTTTTTTTTTCTGAGACAGGGTCTCACTTGGTCACCCAGGCTGGAGTGCTGGAGTGCAGTTGTGCAATCATAGCTCAATGCGGCCTTGAACTCTGGGGCTCTCAGTAATGAGGACTACAGGCACGTGCTGCTATGCCCAGCAAATTTTTGAAAAATTATGGATTTTTGAAAAATTATCTCATAGCACCTAGTGCAGTGGTGTTGCCCACCATATGCATTAAAAAGCATAAACTACATTAAATCTTAATTAAATCTTAATCCTTTAGTCCTTGATGCATTGTCTTGCTTTAAAATTACTATAATACTTATGAATTTACTACTACTTTTTTTTAAAGTACTACTTTTGTTTTGTTTTTTTGTTTGTTTTTGGTTTTTTTTGTTTTTGTTTTGAGACAGGGTCTGGCTCTTTTGCCTGGGCTGGAGTGCAGTGGCATGATCACAGCTCACTGCAGCTCAACCTCCCGGGCCCAAACAATCCTCCTACTTCAGCCTCCTGAGTAGGTGGCACTATAGGCACACGCCACCATGCCTGGCTAGTTTTTGTGTTTTTTGTAGAGATGGGGTTTCACCACATTGCCCAGGCTGGTCTCGAACTCCTGGTCTCAAGGGATCTGCCTACTCGGCCTCCCAAAGTGTTGGGATTACAGGCGTGAGCCACCCCACCCGGCCAAAAAACTACTACTTTTGAACCAAAGATCAATTTAAATTATGAGAATACTTCTCAGTTGGGCTTTCTCATTTCACCATTATTCTTTTTATGTCTAACAGATGGAGATATTCTACTTCTAATACCAACTCCCCTTGGCACTGGGGATTTCTTGGTGTTTACCGAAATGGAGGATATATTTTCACTTTATCAAAATCAAAATCTGAAACCAAAAACAAGTTCATTGACCTTCGACTGAACAGCTGGATCACAAGAGGGACGAGAGTTATTTTTATTGATTTTTCCTTATACAATGCTAACGTAAATCTGTTTTGTATTATCAGGTGAGTGACTCAGAACTTGTTTTCATAGACAGTGGTCAGTGGCCTACAAAACTTCTTTATTAGTACAGTTGACCCTTGAACAACATGAGTTTGAACTGTACAGGTCCACTTAGATATGGATTTTTTCAGTAAATATATTGGAAAATTTTTGGACCTTTGTGACAATTTGAAAAAACTCCCAAACCAACCATGTAGCCTAGAAATACTGAAAAAAAAATTAAGAAAAAGTTAGGCATGTCGTGAATGCATGAAATACCTGTAGATACTCATCTATTTTATTGTTTACTATCACACAGTATACACAAATCTATTATAAGAAGTTAAAATTTGCCAAAACTTATGCACATAAACATGTGGCACCATTTGCAGTCAAGAAAAATGTAAACAAAAGATGCAGTACTATGTCATAACTGCATAAAATTAGAGTACACACTGCACTAGTGTAAGAATTTCGTAGCCATCTCCTGTTGCTATTGCAGTGAACTCTAGTGTTGTATCCATTTAAAGTGTCGTGTGATGCTCACCATCTTCACTTAAGCAGTTTGTCTCTCCAATAAATTGTGTATCTCAGTAAAAAAGTGATCTCTCATAGTTCTCATGTGTTTTTTATCGTATTTAGTGTAATACCATAAACCTTTAATAACACCATGGGACCCATACAAAATGCCACTAGTGATACTGGGGGTGCTCCCACAAAGTAGAGAAACGTCATGACGTTACAAGAGAAAATTGAATTACTTGATATGTATCATAAATTGATGTCTGCAGCTGCAGTTGCCCACCGTTTCAAGATAAGTGAATCCAGAGACTAAGGACCATTGCCCTGGAAGCAGGGGGAAGGAAAGGAAATTCATGAAGCCATCACTGCAGCTATGCCGGCAGGTGTGGAAACCTTGCCCTTTTTGCAAAATACCTTTTTATCTCATTGAAAATGCAGCTTCTGTGGGAATGCAGGATTGCTGTAAGAAAGGCATACCTTTAGATGCTAAATGATTTAAGAAAAGCAAAGTCGGCCAGGCGCAGTGGCTCACGCCTGTAATCCCAGCACTTTGGGAGGCCGAGGTGGGCGAATCACCTGAGGTCAGGAGTTTGAGATCAGCCTGACCAACATGGAGAAACCCCATCTCTACTAAAAATACAAAATCAGCCGGGCGTGGTGGCACAGCCTGTGATCCCAGCTACTCAGGAGCCTGAGCCAGGAGAATCACTTGAACCTGGGAGGCGGAGGTTGTGGTGAGCTGAGATTGTGTCATTGCACTTCAGCCTGGGCAACAAGAGCAAAACTCTGTCTCAAAAAAAAAAAAAGAAAGAAAAAAAGAAAAGTAATTATGTGGCAACTGGTAAAAGGAAAGTGAAGGATCTAAAGTTGGAGAATTTAATGCCAGCAACGGTTGGTTTGATACTTGTAGAAAGAGGTTTCACTTTCAAAAATGTCAAGATAGCAGAAGTAGCTTTTGCCAACCAAGTGGCAGCAGACAATATAGCAGACGTCATTATGAAAATCATTGAGGAGAAAGGATATCTGCCTAAACAGGTTTTTAATGCAGACAATAGTGCCGTATTCTGGAAAAAAAAAATGCCACAAAGAACATTTATTAATAAGGAAGAGAAGCAAGCACAAGGATTTAAGGCAGGAAGAAACAGGCTAACTCTACTGTTTTGTGCAAATGAAGTCAGGTTTATCATCTGGACTACCCTTATCTATAAAACTGCTAACCCCCTAACCTTGAAGGGAAAAGATAAAACACCAGCTTCCAGTCTTTTGGTTGTACAACAAGAAGGCCTGGACAATTAGAACTCTTTTTCTAGAATGGTTCCATTGATGCTTTTTCCAGTGGTTTACTTACCCCCAAACACAACGTCTCTAATTCAGCCTCTAGATCAGGGGATCATGAGGACTTTTAAGGCTCATAACACACAGTACTCTTTAGAAAGGACTGTCGATACTACGGAAGGGAACCCCAACAGAGAGAACATCATGAAAGTGTGGAAGGATTGCATTATTGAAGATGCCATCATTATTAAAAACTGTGAAGCTATCAAACCTGAAACAATAAATACCCGCTGGAGAAAACTGTTCAGATGTGCATGACTTCACAGGATTTATGACAGAGTCAATCAAAGAAATCATGAAAGAGATGTAGATGTGGCCAAAAAAAAAAAAAAAGTGGGAGGGTGAAGGGTTTCAGGATACTGATTTTGGAGAAATCAAGAGCTAATGGACACCACACCAGAGGAATTAACAGAAGAGTCCTTGATGGAGATGAGTGCTTCCAAATCAGTGCCAAATGATGAGAAGGAAAACATAGAAACAGAACAGAAAATAAATGGACATTAGACATCTGGAGAAGGGTTCCGATTATTCAAGACTGCTTTTGACTTCTTTTATGACATGGACCCTTCGATGATATAGGCGCAGAAACTAAAGCAAAGGGTTGAAGGACTGGTACTGTGTAGAAACATTTTTAGAAAAATGAAAAAAATGTCAGAGAAAAATTATTATGTAAAATCTGTAAAGTTTCACTGAATGCGCTCCTCCACCTCTTCCGCTCTGCCACCCCTGAGACAGCAAGACCCTCCCTTCCTCTTCCCCTTCTCCTCCTCAGCCTACTCAGTATGAAGGCCACTAGGATAAAGATCATTATGAAGACCCACTTAGTGAATAGTAAATATATTTTCTCTTCCTCATGGTGTTTTTTTAAGTCTGAGTCTCACTCTGTCGCCCAGGCTGGAGTGTAGTGAGCTTGGCCTGGCATAAATCAATTAGCATGGTCCATGTTAGGGAGGTGACCTAAGGTAACCCAATTAGACTAACGGGAATAACTTTTTTTTTCTCTTTGGTTGGTGCTATCTCTTTACTGACATCAATGACATATAATCACAGTTGCTGCTTGTACACAATCATCTTGGGGAAGCGTAAGATACTTAGCTAACACAAAGGAGGGCAAAACTGAAGCCATCTCAAAGAAATGGAGCTAGATCTGTGAACTTACCACAAATGGTGTCTGCTGTTATCTCTGAAACTGCTGCTGTGTGACAGAAATAAATTTCTTTATTGTTTAAACCAATTTAAGTTGGGGTTTTTGGTTACAACCAAAAGCCTCCTAAATGATTCAGAGGTAGAGAGCTGAGGCCCAAGTTCGGTCTTGTATCTAGCTTTTCCTAGGGAACAAACCACCTCCAAGTGTAGTGGCTTACAATAAATATTTCTCATGTGTTTAGAGTTCAATTGATCCAGCTGGGCTTGACTGATCTCTGTTAGGCTTGCCAATATAGCTGCTATTTGGCAGGACCCACACATGTGTCTTTGAGTTGGTTCTGCTCTACATGTATCTCATCCTTCTCCTGGGTCCAAGTTAGCCCAGGCATGTATTTTTCATGGCAATTGTAGAGGTCCCAAAGAGCAAGTTCTAATGTATAAACTCATTTCAAGTTTCTGCTTGCATCATATTTGTTAACATCCCATTGGCCAAAGAAATTCACATGGTCGAGTCCAGCATCAAGGGCTGGGGCAGTACACCCTCTCCTGGGTGACAGGCCAGGCAAAAAGATGTGAAGAACTATAGCTATTTTTGCAATATACCACAGGCTCTAATATTTCTGGGATCCTGGCTGCTATTACTCATTTAAATTTAAATTGTTCATTCTTGAGACAAAAATGAGTAACTTAATAAAGAAGCCATTCTGAAAGGAAACCAACAGATTTTAATGATCTGATTAGAAGAGGAAATTATCAAGACTAAATGATAGCTCTTTGAAGCTGCAGAAAGAGAAGAAATGAGACTACATATTCTTAAACAATATAAAACATTGTATGTAATCTCCACGTTCCTAAATAAATTTTGAAATAATAAAACAATGTGGTTACTTTTTCATATTGAGAGTAGAACCACATTTTTCATTTTTTTATTTTTTATTTTATTTTATTTTTGAGATGGAGTCTAGCTCTGTTGCCCAGGCTGCAGTACAGTGGCATGATCTCAGCACACTGCAACCTCTGCCTCCTGGGTTCAAGCGATTCTACTGCCTCAGCCTCCTGAGTAGCTCGGATTACAGGCGTGCACCACCATATCCAGCTAATTTTTGTATTTTTAGTAGAGACAGGGTTTTGTCATGTTGTCCAGGCTGGTTTCGAACTCCTGACCTCAGGTGATCCACCCGCCTCGGCCTCCCAAAGTGCTGGGATTACAGATGTGAGCCACCGTGCCCAGCCTACATTATTTTTATTTTAAACCTTGGGATTTTAATCTCAGCACAAGCATGAACAAAACCCTAATAAGGGTTTATACCTCCTTCATTGGTGGGTTCAGATGTGAGGGCTTCGGATGTTTTTTAAATTCAATGTATAGTTGATCTTCGAACAATATGGGAGTCAGAATCAAGCACTAGAAAAGGATTTGCTCTAGAATCAAACACTTAGTAAAGGATTACCATGATTGGATCTGCCTGGGGATTTAATCAGCTTCCCCTAAGTGATCTGGGATGGGTGGAAGACTGAATACAATTAAGATTCTGTTAGAAAAAATGGAATAATGACTGCTAGAGAGGCAAACAACAGTGTCTACTATACACCGTGTAATACTATGCAATAAAAAGAATGAGATCATATCCTTTGCAGGGAAATGGATGGAGCTGGAGGCCATCATCCTTAGCAAACCCACACAGGAACAGAAAACCAAAAGCTACATGTTCTCATAAGTGGGAACTCAATAATGAGAACACATGGACAGAAAAGGGGGAACAACAACAGACACGGGGGCCTACTTGATGGAGGAGGGTGGGAAGGAAGAGGCTCAGAAAAAAACTGTCAGGAAGTATGCTTAGTACCCAGGTGAAAAAATAATCTGTACACCAAACCCCCAAGTCACAAGTTTACCTATATAACAAACCTGCACATGCACCCCTGAACCTAAAATAAAAGTTAAAAAAAATTTAATATCAGTGAGCCACTTTTATCTCATAAGTCTTAACATTTTTTCCTGAATGGACTATGGAATTGGAGTTTAGGAGATTTTGCTCCCCGTGCAACAGGGAGAGTGAAACACACCATGGCCTTTAAAATATATAAAAATGAATAAAACAAATGAACTGCCTGAAGCAGCCAATGGATGTTATACCTTTTATTTTAAAGTTCTTTTCTCTCAGAGAATCAGAGCTTTTTACCAACTTCATTCACCCTTCCCAACAGTCCTGATCAGGATAAAGTGAAGAATACAAATTATTTTTATGTCCTAAACAAGAATGGAAGCATTGAGGTAACTGGCTTTAAGAAGCCCTTGTAATATCAGATAAAGTCCAGATTTCCACTCTGAAAGTTTTACACTTACTCTGTTACCTTTTAAAACGTTATTTTTTAGAAACTTCAGCAGACTTCGAAACTGTTAACTGGAGTATCTAATCAGTAGTTGTGTAGATGCATATTACTTATACCTTATCCGTTTATTTTCATTTTTGTACAATTATCAGGCAAATTAAACAGAATATTATTTTTCCTTTTTGATTAGTCTGCACTTCAGATCATAATATTGAGTTTAGTTCACTCACTACCTAGTATGTGTAAGATGTAAGTTTTATTTGTTAACTGAGGTTTGGTTTTTGTTGTTTTGGGAGCACCTTATAAGAGTACCAATGACATTTGCTAAAATCTTTAGTAGGAATAATTAAATTATAATATTGTGATAGAAATACTGGTTCCTTAAATTACCACCAATTCTTAATTATCGGAAGTTGTGGAGAACACCAGAGAACCTCAAAATCTTTTTATATGTAGTGTTGGATTTAATTTTTATACTTCTGTCTGCATATAGATTTTTGTATCCAGCATCCAACAGAAAACATTTGCTTTAGTAGAATATGTGACCTTGACATTTAGAAGCAAGCATTTCTGATAATCTAAAGAGGGAGAATGTATGTCCTCCCTCTGAAGTATTCAAAAATTATGTATATTGGGGAAAAGTTCTAACTAATAACAGTAACTAATGGTATAGCATTTTCTTGAACATATCATTCTCCTATGGACATAAATTATATTCCCAGTTATGAACAAGCAAACTGAACACAAAATAGAATGAATGTCTGAAAAAAAAAAAATCACAACTTGCTTTCTCATTTACATTGGTCTTTGACCACTGTGAATATTCAGGTATAGAAAAAGTGGAGCCACTATGAAATAAGTAAATCTAGAAGATGTTTAAATTGAACCCATTTCCCCAAGGAAACATATTTTATAAAAAAAAAACAAAACTGATTATCATTAAGGCATACATAATCATTGATTGAAAATTTCACATTACGTACTGAAATACAAATGCTTGAAATGAACATTTGCTTTCGCAAACCTGATTTTACAGATTGGTGGCAGAATTCCCTGCAACTGGAGGAATACTTACTTCATGGCAGTTTTACTCTGTGAAGCTCCTCAGATATGTTAGCTACTATGATTATTTTATCGCTTCCTGTGAAATCACATTTTGTATTTTTCTTTTTGTCTTCACAACACAAGAAGTCAAAAAAATAAAAGAATTTAAGTCTGCCTATTTCAAAAGTATTTGGAACTGGCTAGAATTGCTACTTTTGCTGGTGAGTATATATTCATGCGCATGGTTGAAGGGGATCACATCTGAACCTACCAATGAAGGAGGTGTAAAAAGACAGAATCTTCTATTCCATCCAGGACTTGTTTTGAAAATTAAAAGTATCAAACATAAAATGAACTAGGAATAGTACTATTAATGGTGTGCCTCCAAAAGGGAGAGATCTATTTTCTTCTGATTTGGTCCTTGGGAGGGTCAGCATAAACCTACAGGGAAAGGTGATTCCAGAAATATTACGCTTTAATGTGCACAGTAGGTCTCCCTACCCCCACTCAAAAAATGTATTACTTTCAAGGCCTTGAGTTTCACCAGTCACGGGTCTTTGGGGGCAAGGCTGTTTAAAATAATCTGTGTTGCCAAATCTGGTTTTTTCCTCATAATAAATTTTGAAAACATAGACAAAAGACAAGGCTAGGCAGAATACTGACAGGGGTGAGCAGCCAGAGGGGACCTTGTGGGTCCAGAGGGCACCAGGTTTGGAGAAATAGTCCCTGAAAGAAACACCAAAGTGAAATGTACTGAAATAAACAGCGATTTAGGCAGGCCGAGACAAATGTTAAAGGGCTTGGTCTCAGGAACAAAGAACCAATGTTTCTAGCTTATACAATTTGATCTTTCACCCTTATTGGCCCTTAATTATAGCCAATCAAGTATTTAAGCCTTGTTTCCCAAAACCAGATTGAAAGTTTCTGAGAGTCAGAAAGTATGCCACCTACCTCTCTGGTAACTCCACTAATATCTTACAAAGGACATAACATTAAATGTTTATCTGAGCATTTCAGGCAAGAATAGTCAAAGGAAAATGTTCATGTCAGTTATAAAGCTCTGATAGCTAAAACAGCCTGGTTCTGAAATACTCTTTTAAAGGGTTGTTAAAAGGTTCCAGAAGGTTTTATTTTTTGTAATTATAAATTGTTTTCTTATAGTATTACATAGTAGAAAATGTTTAGCTTTTAAGTATTATGTAGAGCAGAAATCCTTATGGCCTCAGAGTTACATAATCATTTTATACAGTTGTGCTTTATGACTCAAAGAAATAAAGATTTAGATAGGTTAGGATGGCCAAGCAATTAATATTTTTCAACTTTATAATAATTAGTGCTACCTTAAACTTGCATAAGTTGAGGGTTATTTCCATTTATGTAAAAGCATATGTCGTATCTTTCCTTCCCTTTTTGTTAAACTTTTGATGAACTTTTTTTGTGTTTCCTCATAGGCTGTAAGATATTTAGAGGTAGAGATATTCTCTAATTTAACCCTTCTTATTTTCCCATTTAGTTGTGTTTTGTGGCTGTTTCCTTCAACACATACTGTAATGTACAAATTTTTCTCTTACTTGGACAGCTGTTGGAAAGTACTGAACAATATTCAGATTTCTATTTTCTTGCATGCTGGCACATTTATTACAATAATATAATTGCTATTACCATCTTTTTTGCATGGATAAAGGTATTTATATTTTATTATATTAAATAATACAAACAGTGTAATAGCATAATGAAAAATTAAACTAAAAAGTCATGGGGAAAAATATTTTTTCAACTATTAAGTAATTTTAAAAGTAGTTTGGGCCGGGCACAGTGGCTCACACCTGTACTCCTAGCACTTTGGAAGGCCAAGGCGGGTAGATTCTTGGCCCCAGGAGTTCGAGACCAGCCTGGGAAATCCAAAGATACCAAAAAATATTAACTGGGTGTGGTGGTGCACACCTGTAGTCCCAGCTACTCTGGAGGCTGAGGTGAAAGGATCCCTTGAGCCCTCGAGGTGGAGGTTACAGAGAGCTGTAATCCCCCACTACACTGCAGCCTGGATGACAGAAAAAAAAAAAGTTGGCCAGATGTGGTGGCTCACACCTGTAATCCCAGGACTTTGGGAGGCCGAGGTGGGTGGATCACCTGAGCTCAGGAGATTGAGACCAGCATGGCCAACATGGTGAAATCCTCTCTACTAAAAATATAAAAAATATTAGCCAGGTGTGGTGGCACATGCCTGTAATCCCAGCTACTAGGGAGGCTGAGGCAGGAGAATCGCTTGAACCTAGGGGGCGGAGGTTGCAGTGAGCCGAGATCACGCCACAGCACTCCAGCCTGGGTGACAGAGTGAGACTCCATCTCAAGAAAACAAAAAAAAACCCAGAAGTTTGGCCTTGTAATGATTGCTGGCAAATCCTCAAACACCCGTGATTATCATTAAATATCTCCTTTAATTCGAAGCAGAATTCTTCTGAAATTAATTTATTCTAAGTAATTTCATCTTTGATATTCTCCTATTTCAATTAACTTTGTTCTTTTTCAGATATTCAAATTCATAAGCTTTAACAAGACAATGTCTCAGCTGTCATCAACCTTGTCCCGTTGTATTAAAGACATAGTAGGATTTGCCATTATGTTTTTTATAATATTCTTTGCTTATGCCCAGTTAGGATTTCTTATTTTTGGATCACAAGTTGATGACTTTTCCACTTTTCAGAATTCCATGTAAGCTCTTAGTATAAATGTAATTATATCTTCTATATTTTCTTACAAAAAAATGGAAAGTTCTAACCTTCTATGATAAGTAGTAATATAAGCTTTAATATATTTAAGGTTAGTTTGAATTTTTTTTTTTTTTTTTTTTTAGCTCACTGCAGCCTCAAACTTCTGGACTCAAGCTATCCTCAGCCTCCGAAGTAGCTAGGACTACAGGTGTGCACCACCACACCTGATTGATTACCTTTTTATTATTTTCTGTAGAGAGGGAGTCTCACCATGTTGCTCAGAGTGGTTTTATACTTCTGGGTTCAAGTGAACCTCCTGCCTCGGCCTCCCAAAATGCTGGGATTACAGGCATGAGCCACCAGCCTGGCTGATATTTTCATTGATGGCTAAATATCTCTCACATTCAAATTAGGGTTTGGCATTGAAGGAGCCAAATGGGTGATGGTGTCCATTTTTAAGGTGTTACTAGGTCAAGTAAGAAAAATAATTTTTCATTTTTCATTGGAAGTGATAATTTTACCTAAGATAATGGAAATTGTCCCCCATGTCTCTATAGTATTTATTCTCTTGGTATTTTTTTTTTTTTGGATAGGGTCTCCACTCTGTCACCTAGGCTGGCATACAATGGCGTTATCACTGCTCATTGCATCCTGAAACTCCTGGGCTCAAGCAATCCTCCCACCTCAGCCTCCTGAGTAGCTGGGTGTGCCACCACATCCAGCCAATTTTTGTATTTTTTGTAGAGACAAGGTTTAGCCATGTTGCCCAGGCTGGTCTTGAACTCCTGAGTTCAAGCAATCCTCTTGCCTCGGCATCTCAAAAGCACTGGGATTACAGATGTGAGCCACCACACCCAGCCAAAAGAAATCTTAAGTGTTTTCTTTAGAGGGCTCCATCTTAATATTTTTATTGATATTGACCTGATTGTCCTTTGCTAATCTGCCAAGCATGTATTTTTAAAATAGCTTGAGGCTGGGCCCCATGGCACCTATAATCCCAGCATTAGGGAGGCCAAGATGGGAGAATCACTGAGGCCAGGAGTTCAAGACCAACCTGGGCAACACAGCAAGACTCCGTTTCTACAAAAAATAAAAAACAACTAGCTGGATGTGGTGGCATATGCTTGTATTCCTAACTACTCAGGAGGCTGAGGCAGGAGGATCACTTGAGCCTGGGAGTTTGAGGTCACAGTGAGCTATGATCGTGCCACTGCACTCCAGCATGGGCAACAGAGTGAGATCCCATTTCTAAAATAATAAAAATAATAATAAAACTTGGTAATAATTGACATTTAATACAGATGTAATAATTTACAGAGCCTAGGAAATTTGTCTTACCGTGGGTAGTGAAGAAGAAAGGAAAGTATAAAGCACAGAACCGGTAGAGAACTTTGGAATGGGTTAATGAGAGGACGTCTGTTTTTGGTAATGATGTGTTAGGCTATTCAGATCAATCTCCTCTTGAGGACAATTTTAAAAGCTGGATGACATAAAAAACAATGAAAAATTAATAAGAAAGTGAGTAATAACTGGGTCAAAGTCAGAAGGCCACAACCCAGAGAAGTAAGCCCAGCACCCAAAGCTATTTGCCCTGAAGGCATTTTTAAGCTCTTTTTTCAAAAATTTTGTGGTGATAAAATATATATAACATAAAATTTACCATTTAAACCACTTCTAAGTGTACAGTTCAGTGATATTAAGTACATTCATATTGTGCAACCATCACCCCCATCTATCTCCAAATCTCTTCATCTTGGAAAACAAAAACTCTGTACCAATTAAAACAATAACTCCCTATTTTCCCCTTCCCCAGCCCCTGTCAGCCACCATTCTACTTTTTGTTGCTATGATTTTGATTACTCTAGGTACAACATATAAGTGGAATCATATATTATTTGTCTTTTTGTGACTGGATTACTTCATTAGCATAAATGCCCTTAAGTTTCATCCATGTTGTAGCATGTAGTCAGAATTTCCTTCCTTAAAAAGGCTGAATAATATTCTATTATATGTATATTCCACATTTTGCCTATTCATTCATCTGTCAATACACATTTGGGTTGGTTCCACATTTTAGCTATTGTGAATAACAGTGCTGTGAACATGGATGTATAAATATCCATTCAGTTGGATGGATATTTCAGTTCCTTTGGTTATATACCCAGAAGTAGAATTGCTGGATCACATGATCTATTTCCCCCTCCAGACTTATTAAGGTATAATTAAAACTATATATATTTATGCTATAGGTGTGATGTTTTGAAATATGTACACATTGTGAAATGATTAAATCAGGCTATGTTTAACATATCCATCACCTCTCATATTTATCATTTCTTGTGGTAAGAACATTTAAGATCTACTTTCTTAGCAATTTTCAAGTATACATTATTAACTATAGTCACCATGCTATACAGTAGATCTCCAGAACTTATTATTCTGTCTAACTGAAATGTTACACCCATTGACATACATCTCTCAATTTCCCTTGAACTCCACCTCTCCAACCCCTGGCAATTGCCGTTCTGCCCTTCGCTTCTATGACTTCAATTTTTTCAGACTCCACATATAAGTGAGATCATGCAGTATTTGTCCTTCTGTGCCTTGCTTATTTCACTTAATATGATAGTCCTCCAATTTCATCCTTGTCACAAATGACAGTATTTCCTCCTTTTCAAAGATTGAATAGTGTTCCTTGTTTATATATGCCATATTTTCTTTATCCATTTAACCATTAATAGACATGTAGGTTGATTCCCTATCTCGGCTAAACAATGCTGCAGTGAACATGGGAGGGCAGATATTTCTTTCACATACTGATTTTATTTCCTGTAGATACATATACCAAGAAGTGGATTGCTGGATCATATGTTAGTCCTATTTTTAATTTTCTGAGGAATATCAATACTAGTTGGCATAGTGGCTGTACCATTTTACATTCCCACCAACAGTGTATGAAGTTTTCTTTTTGTCTCCATCCTCGATAACACTTGTTATCTTTTTGATAAGAGTCATTCTAACAGGTGTGAGGTGATAGCTCATTTTGTTTTGCTTTTTTGAGATGGAGTCTTGCTCTGTTGCCCAGGCTGGCGTGCAGTGGCGAGGTGATAGCTCATTTTGTTTCGTTTTTTTTGAGATGGAGTCTTGCTCTGTTGCCCAGGCTGGAATGCAGTGGCATGATCTCGGTTCACTGTAACCTCCTCTTCCTGGATTCAAGTGATTCTCCCACCTCAGCCTCCCGAGTAGGTGGCATTACAGGCATGCACCACCACACCTGGCTACTTTTTGTATTTTTAGTGGAGATGGGGTTTCACCATGTTAGCTAGGTTGGTCTCGAACTCCTGACCTCAAGTGATCCACCTGCCTCAGTCTCCCAAAGTGCTGGGATTACAGGTGTGAGCCACTGTGCCTGGCCTAATTTGCATTTTCCTGATTAGTGATGTTGACCATTTTTTCATATATCTGTTGACCATTTGTGTGTCTTATTTTGAGAAATGTCTATTGAGGTCCTTTGTCCATTTTTAAATTGGATTATTTTCTTTCTTTTTTTTTTTTTTTGAGATGGAGTTTGTTCTTGTTGCCCAGGCTGGAGCACAGTGGTATGATCTCAGCTCACTGTAACCTCCACCTCCCAGGTTCAAGTGATTCTTCTGGCTCAGCCTCCCGAGTAGCTGGGATTACAGGCATGCACCACCATGCCTGGCTAGTTTTGTATTTTCAGTAGAGACGGGGTTTCTCCATGTTGGTCAGGCTGATCTCAAATTCCTGGCCTTCATTTTTGTGTTTTTTTAGTGGAGACAGGGTTTCACCATGTTGGCCAGGCTGGTCTGGAACTCCTGCCCTCAGGTGATCCACCTGTCTTGGCCTCCCAAAGTGCTGGGATTACAAGCGTTAGCCACCTAGCCCCGTTCACTTTTCTTCTTTTTTCTGTTTCTCAGACTCAATAATGTAAATTATCCTATCTTCAAGTTCATTGATTCTTTTTTCTGCCTGCTCAAATCTTCCTTTGAATCCCTTTAGTAAATTTCTCATTTTGGTTATTATTTTTCCATCTTGGAATTTTTTGTTTCTTTTTAGGTTTTCACTTTAAAGATATTTCCATTTTGTTCACATTTTCTTGATTTCATCCATGCTTTCCTTTAGTTCTTTCAGCATCTTTAAGACAGTTATTTTAAAGTATTTGTCCAGTAGGTCGTCATCTGGTCTTTCTCAGAGACAGTATCTACTAGCTTGCGATTTTTTTGGTTTTGGTTTTTTCCACTGAATGGCTCATATTTCCCTGTTTGTGTATCTAGTGATTTTTTGGTGAATTTTTAGATTCAAACTTTGTATGTCTTGTGATTTTGTGATTTTTAAAAAATTCAAACCAAGCTGGGTGTGGTGGCTCACATTTTGGAGCCATTGCACTTTGGGAACCTCCTAGCACTTTGGGAGGCCAAGGCAAGTGGATCACTTGGGCCCAGCAGTTTGAGACCAGCCTGGGAAACTAAGGGAGACTATGTCTGTACAAAAAATAAAAAATAATAAAAATTCAAACCAGACATTTGAATCTAATAATGTGTTAACTTTGAAAATCAGATTCTTCCCCTTCCCCAGGGTTTGCCATCTTTTGTTCTTATTTTTTATTTTTATAGTGTGGCTCCATGCCAAGGATCACCCTGAGTTGCACACTTAAGGTCTTCTCAGGTTTTTCCTCAGCCTATGCCCTTCCCTGGGAATGCACAATGACTTCCTAACTTTCCCCTGATATGGAGTTGGTTCTGAATGTCCTAGTCTTTAATGTCTGGATCCCAAAAAAGGAAAAGAGAAGAATAAAGTGAGAGGTAGGGGAAGGATAACAGCCCTTTAAATCCCAAGGATATTGCTTCAGCTGAAGGATGATGGTCTTGCAACAATGGAGATGCAACAATGGCTGCCCACCTCAGTGCCTGCATCTCCACGATCAGAAGCAGCAATCAGCAGTCACCACACAAATCCCCAATTATTGAAAGACATGGTATTTATTCCCCACATGGCTCCCATAAGCTACATGCAAGCTGCTTCACAAACATATGAATGGATCCCATCTATGAGGCTAATGAGTAGAGGGGATGCATAGCTATTGAGATAAAAGCTGAAATTGTCCAAAATTAACTGCAATTTACTGTCCAAGCCTTTCCCTAGAAGTTGCAGGCCTTCTTCAACAGACTCTAGAGTTCCAAAGTAGTACATCTGACAGATTCTGTCTATGTAATTATTGTCTAGATGGGGACAGGGGAGAAATAGTTTCCTGTGGTTCTCTTCCACCTTCCAAGAATCCTTCTTTTTTTTTTTTTTTTTTTCTTTTGCTGACCCAGAAGAAATAGTTGAGAAACTGTGTTACTGGCCACTCTCAGGAAGGAGACAGAGGCAAGGTCCAAGGCCTGCACAGTGTGTGTGTGTGTGTGTGTGTGTGTGTAGGGAGAAGACTATCTAGTCACCTTTCTATACATCAAAAAGGGAGCTTGAATTGCTACACCCTCAAGTTAAAGATGAATTTCTTGTAGTGACCCAATCAATGACTCCAAGAGAGAGACTGGAAAGTCTTATTAATGACAAATGGCACGTTATTATGAAACAGGCTTTTAGTTATGGTAATTCAATAAGGGAGAACTGTATCTAAAGTTTGCGGGGCATCAGAAAGTTACAAAACAGTATTTTCATTCAATATAACCCTGTATGTTGAGGTGTCATGGTGCTTTCAGCTTGCAAAAAAGAAACAAAATGGATAAACTAAGCTCCGATTAAGAAAAGAGAGACTGTATTTGGAGCCTCCAGTTTCTATGAGATTATAACCATTCAGTAAATGCTTCAGTTTTTGTCATTCTATTACAGAGCAGACGTATCTTAACACTTTCCTGACAGAAAAGGGTTGAATGGAAGCTTTGGTTACTAAGCTAATTTCTGGAGAGGAGAAAAGAATGAGAATGGTTCCTTTATCTTTTTTTTTTTTCAACTCAAAGATAAAAAGATAAAAGATCATGGCAGAAACACTAAAACAGAACCTTTTATTCTCCTATGCCAGAAAAAATATTTGATTTGTGGTGAGACTTAAGTTTCCTTCCAATTCAGTATTTTCTCTATCTTATGGAGGAAAGCATTACAAACCAGTATTAAAAGCAAGATAAATACTTTAGGTATGATTTGGTCAGGTCTTAGCTAGGTGCCAAGGATGGAATCTCAGATAACTCTGAGTCCTAGGACTTCATGTAGCCCATTTCTTTGAATGCTTTTTCTTCCTTCATTAAAGCTCTTTGCTCCTTTTATGTGACTGGCAAAAGCAATAAGGGACAAGCAGCCTTTCTCCCTTTTCACTGACCAATTACGCAGAGTTATCAACATAGGATTAAAAATTTCTTTCCACACGCCTGTAATCCCAGCATTTTGAGAGGCCAAGGCGGGTGGATCACCTACGGTCAGGAATTTGAGACCAACCTGGCCAACGTGGTGAAACCCCATCTCTACTAAAAATACAAAAATTAGCCAGGCATGGTGACACGTGCCTGTCATCCCAGCTACTCAGGAGGCTGATGAGGCAGGAGAATCGCTCGAACCGGAGAGATGGAAGTTGCAGTGAGCCAAGATCCCACCACTGCACTCCAACCTGGGTGACAAGAGCGAAACACCGTCTCAAAAAAAAAAAAAAAAAATTCTTTCCAAATTTCCTCATAGAATAAAGAACACACACACATAAGTTAAACTGATATTCCTGATATGTCTAGTGAGACCACTGGAAGTTAATAATGAGAAAAGATTTTCAAGTTAGAAAATTCTAATTCTACTTGTTACTACTGTGCTACTCAAAGTCTTAATTTCTTCATTTTCCATCTTTAAAATTAGAAAAAGGAAGGTTTGAAATACTTTAAGTGGTATTTCTTATCAAACCAGGCTATCAAAGAGGGTAAAATAAACCTTAGGATCATGTTGAGTATTATTATCAGCACTTGTTTGAGACTAGCAAGTTACATATTGTTGGCATCCCTATTTTATCAGAATTTAAGAGTTGGTTAAGACAAAAATTCACTTCACTGACATTAGAAAGTTTAGGGCTCTTGGGTCTAAACCTTCTACAAGTTGAAAAATCACTTGAACAAATTCAAAGTTCTAATGTTTAGAAGGGCACAGGCATAGCCGGCCAAGGAGGCCACTGCCAAAACCAGTTAGTAGACAGGTATCTCAGGTTCAAATGTTACAGGTGGGTTGGGTGCGGTGGCTCATGCCTGTAATCCCAGCACTTTGGGAGGCTGAGGCGGGCGGATCACTTAAGGCCAGGAGTTTGAGATCATCCTGGCCAACATGGTGAGACTGTCTCTACTAAAAATACAAAAAAAGTAGCCGGGCATGGTGATGCACGCCTGTAATCCCAGCTACTTGGGAGGCTGAGGCAGGAGAATCGCCTGAACCTGGGAGACAGAAGTTGCAGTGAGCTGAGATAGCACCACTACACTCCAGCCTGGGTGGCAAGAGTTTGACTGTCTCAAAAAAAAAAAAAAAAAAAAAAAGTTATAGATGAACACTGAGTTCACATTCATTAAAGCAGTCATGTCCTACATTACCTATTCAGCTACTGAGGTACTTTAAGTCTTTCTTTTAGGGGAATTTTCTACATCCAATTTTACGCAACTCTGTAGTAACATAATTAAAGTCAGAAAGCATATGCCATATGCTGCTAGATATCTTCTTAGAGACATTAGTAACTCCCATCAGTTGTCATGTATGTACATGAAGGTATGTTTTCTAATATTTTTCTCTCTTAAAGATTTGCACAATTTCGAATTGTTCTTGGAGATTTTAATTTTGCTGGTATTCAGCAAGCCAATCCTATCTTGGGACCCATTTACTTCATCACTTTCATCTTTTTTGTGTTCTTTGTTCTGCTGGTAAGAATGATAATATATATTCCTTACATTTCTTACTTTTTAGAATAAAAAATAAAATTACTCATTTAGAATAAACTATTATTTCTGCTCAGCTGTCAGGGTACTTTACATTTATTAAGAATTGTGTGGATCCCTAGTAATCCAGGTTCACTAGTCCAGTGACTGTTTTCAAGTTGTCCAATGGAGAATGTAATCACAGTAGTTAATTTCTGGGTGTTTTAGATGGGAATGTGCTAAATCCTTCACAAAAATAATCTGAATGTCCCAGGTCTCTTCAGGCTGGGACAATGCATGCCATGAGCCATGAATGTGGCCATTAATATTCTGCCCATATTGCAATGGCTTTTGGCCCTTACAGCTAAACACTTAACATGTTGTGGTTTTCAGGAGTTATCAGGATGGATCTCTCACATGCACTCAGAACAAGTCTATTTGGGCTTCCTAACCAAGGAACCTTGCCTTTCTAGTCAAGGCATTGTGCTGTCCTCCATGAAAACACTTTTTGTCAGGCACGGAAGTTATCCCCTGGTGACAGACAAGACTCTTAGGGTGACAGAGCTGGGCCACAGTGAAAGGTGGGCTGTTGGGGTAAGAATATCCTTTCTACATTTGTGTTATCTGGACATTAGTAGTTGCAGGAGCTGTAGTAAGACTGTGAATTCAAACAGCTTCATAGAATTTAAAAACAACAGTAACAACAAACACCCTTGGCTGGACGCAGTGGCTCACACCTATAATCCTAGCACTTTGGGAGGCAGAGGCAAGCGGATCGCTTGAGCTCAGGAGTTCGAGACCAGCCTGGGCAACATGATGAAATGCTGTCTCTACTAAAAATACAAAAATTAGCCAGGTTTGGTGATGCACACCTATAATCCCAGCTACTTGGGTGGCTGAGGCATGAGAATCGCTTGAACCTGGGAGTGGGAGACTGCAGTGAGCTGAGATCGCACAACTGCACTCCAGCCTGGGCAACAGGGTGGGACCCTGTCTCAAAAACAAACAAACAAAAAACACCCTTATGAACACATAATTACATCATTCTAAATTTTCTTCCATTATGTAATATTGCATAGATATAACCAGTTCATATGCATTCTTTTACATTCTGCTTTTCTCATTTGCCATAAACATATTTGCCCATACCCACACACCACACATTTTCTATTCTACTTATTGTCTGCATAGACATTTCCCCATTTTTGAGCATATGGGTTACTTTTAAAACTTGATGTTTTGCTTGTTTCTTTTTTATTATTATTATTATTTTTTGAGACAGAGTCTTGCTCTGTTGCCCGGGCTGGAGTGCAGTGGGTGCGATCTTACTCAGCTCACTGCAACCTCCACCTCCTGGGTTCAAGAGATTCTCCTGCCACAACCTCCTGAGTAGCTGGGACTACAGGTGCATGCCACCATGTCTGGCTAATTTTTGTATTTTTAGTAGAGACGGGGTTTTGCCATGTTGGCCAGGCTGGTCTTTAACTCCTGTCCTCAAGTGATTCACCCACCTTGGCCTCCCAAAGTGCTGGGATTACAGGCGTGAGCCACCATGCCTGGCCTACTTTTAAAATTTAAATACAATTTTACAAACCTGAAACTTGCTAAAATCACTAACATTTAAACTAAATTTTTATTGAAATAATTTTTTGAATACTTATTCCTAGAATATGTTCTTGGCAATTATTAATGATACCTACTCTGAAGTGAAAGCTGATTATTCAATAGGCAGAAGGCCGGATTTTGAACTTGGTAAAATGATTCAACAGGTAAGTCAAATTTCTTTCCTAATTAGAATTCTAAGACAAATCTCATACAGTTTATCCTCCTGCAGTTTGAATACCACTTAATCCCAAGTGGTTGTGTTCTCCCCACTCCCACCCCCAGAGTTGGTTTTGTGTTTTGATCCAGTGTTATTGATACTCACATTATTTCATTACTACAGAAATGAGATATGCTCTCTGGCTTCAAAAATGTAGCCAGAATTATTTCAGAGTGCAATATATCAAATAGTTACTGAGTGATTTCCTAAATGCAAAGCACTGTTGAGTATTATAATCAAACCCTCTCTTCCTTCCGGAAAGGTTTTGCTCTGGATGCTGTTAAATTTCTATCAATCTAAACTCAGAACTCCATGTGTCTTGTCTTCCTCACTTTCCTGTTTCTGTTCATGGCAACGCTATCCTCTCAAGTCACTCCTGGCTCAAGAAACTTGAAAAGAATTTGTTTCCTTGTCCCTTATATAGTCTATTGTCATGGCATATGTATAGTTTATCTCTGTAGTTGTTGCTTACATTTGTGGAATACTTTAAATTCTAACTGCCGCTAGACGAGGCTTTCAGTACTTTTTGTACTTACCTTCACCATGGTAACATTTCCTGACTATTGTAGCCTCTTCCCTGTGCCAGTCCAGATGTGGTTATCAGTTTCCCTAGGCCTGTCAAGTCCGAATTCCTTACCCAAACATTCCAAATCCTCAAGTCTCACAGTCCCAACCTATCTTCATTAACTATAATTTTACTATAGTTTCTACCTTTCTGCCTCTATTTACAACACTGTATGTCCCGGCTCATCTGTTCTGAGCACTGTGCTTTATACCATGCTTGTTCTCACTCTCTCCTCTGAGCCTCTGCTCAAATCATTCTCTGACCCCTGAAATATTCCTACAGCTCTTCTCTCTTGCTATCACTCTATTCTTCTTCAAAAAGTGGAATCTGTCCTGTCCTCCTCTCAATATCTACCTCAGTTTGAGCTGTAGCAGAGTTATATGTGTATCAGTCACATCTCCCCTGCCAGTCTGGCCATCTCTGCATATCCCATGTTTCTAAAGCATAGCATTTCACAGAGAAGAGGTCCTACCTAGTAGCTGTGGGGTTAGTGGGGTTTACAAACTTTGCCCAAGAACTAATCTATAAAACAAACCAAAAAAACTGTTAAGCTATCCCCCAATTAGTTTGCTTTTTTCCCCCATCTTTTATCACTTGAATATGATGTTGGTTATATTCATTAGAAGTGTTAACATCCTTAACGCAATACATGTTAACACTTTTTAAAGATTTTTGCTTTTTCCAAGTTCCAGAGTAATGCCCCCAACTGAAGAACCCCTTTTGTGTTTTCACCAGCAGGCGTAAACCATATGTAGCAATGAGTTCACGTGAAAGAAGGATAATCATAGTATTTACCTCCACAATCCTTTAGGGTAGCAATCCAGAGGGACAAGCATTACATATTTATTTTACTTTGATAAAACATTAATAATAAAGGATATATTTTGATGAATTTTCAAACTATTTTAAATTATGCCCAGAGTTACAAAAATGTTCTCGAGAAATTCAGACTGAAGAAAGCTCGAAAAGATGAAGATAAGAAAACGTAAGATGACTTTTCTCAAATGTTTAACTTACCATTTTAAAGTTCTACATTACCGGAGAACCTTATAAGGTTGTTTTTTTGTTTTGTTTTGTTTTTAATAGAGACAGGGTTTCCCCATGTTGGTCAGACTGGTCTCAAACTCCTGACCTCAGGTGATCCACCCACCGGGGCCTCCCAAAGTGTTGGGATTACAGGCGTGAGCCACCATGCCTGGCCATGAGTAAGGTTTTAATTGCAAAACCACCAACAACCTATGTGGCGATTCTAAATACACAGTCAGTACACCCAGGACTGCCTCCTAATTTCTGAGGACACCAGAAATTTTAGCTAATTTAAAATTAATATAATGCCTGCCATTCTACTGAGAAAAAGCTGTAAGAGAAAGCTGGAGGGGACAATAAAGTCCCTCTAAAAAGGTAGGAAATCATTTTAGTCTAAATTAAATGCATTTACTTGGCTATAAAAACATTTACACACAATACTTATGAATAATACTTACACTTACACTATATTTACACTTACATTTATTAAATGACTTTGGTGTCAAAATAATTCCCAAACCCAGAACTCTGGCAGTGGAACATAAACATTTTTTTCAGTTAATGGCATATGATACTCTGAAGAACTTGTTAATGATCACATTTTCCAAATAATTAGCATTATCTGAAATAAATATTATTCAGATCCTTACTACAGATCTGATTGTACGTTATGGTGGCATTTCCTTTTTTATTGTCATTTGCCTCTGATTTTTATTTTATGTTTTCAGTAGCAAAGGCAGCGGAGATTTGGCTGAACAAGCCAGAAGAGAAGGCTTTGACGAAAATGTAAGATTTTAATTTTTTTCATAAACACAAGTGGTAGCTGTATTAGAAATATGCTTGTAAAAATGCTCTGGTTAAGAATTGAAATGATTTGCTGTTTTTCAGAACAGTAACTATCATCTCCAAATAAATCTCCCAGATCTAGATCCTTTCACGTTTAGGACAAACCATTTGGATTTCAGATGCTTCCTCTCTCCTACCTGTACTCTCAGCCAGATACCTAACCCTACAGGAGTACACTCACTGTGTGAATATCACACTGGGTATTCATAGTGAGTACACTTTGTGGAGATGATTTGGGTAACTTTTCTCTTGTAATCACTAATGTGATGAATTACTTTAACACTTTTGTATTTCAAAAATTGTAATATGTAACATATATCTGACAATAGCAGAATTTAAGGAACACCTATGTTCCTTAAATATACTATTACCACTACCACTTAAAAAAAAAAAAAGTGAACCATTGCTCTACTTCTGGTCACCACCTCTCCCCCCAAATGCTCAGAAAGAAGACAGCAGGGTCAGGAGACTGTAATAAGCAAGCAAATAAATGTTGAAGTTTCTCATTTTCGGATAAAGGAATTATAAAAATGGAAAGGCTGAAGGTGAACTTTGTGGTACTGGATTGGAATCTAGATCTACTGTGTACACACACGTATTTTCTAGCTCTGTCCAATCCACTATGAGGGCTAGAAGCGACACCCTACTAGCAATGAGCACAACTAGTACCCAGATCTTGGTTTCCAAATAGCATTCTCCTCTAAAAGGAACTGGGGCTCCTTGGAGGTCTTGCTAATTCCAGGGCTGGAAAGTACAGCTGACTCTTGAACAACACAGGTTTGAACTGCACACGTCCACTTAAATGTGTAATCTTTTTACCTGGATCAAAAATTCAGTATTTGCAGGCTAGGGAGGGTATGTGGGTTCTGCAGGGCCAACTATGAGACTTGAGTATATGCAGATTTTGGTGTACTAGGGGGTCCTGGAACCAATCCCCCATGTATACCGAAGGACAACTATACAAGATGAGTCTGGAATAGCTTATTGAGGCATAAAGTAAAACTGCTCAAAGAATGATAGAGAATCTGTTAAAAGAATCAGTTTAAGGGGCTCAAGCTGGCCAAATGTGACAATATTTAAGCACTATGATGAATAATGGTTCATAGCCCATTGAATAAAAGGATTCCATGAATGAGACATTTACAGGCCTCTCCACCAAATACTCATTACAAAAAGAAAAGCAGTAATGTTAGGGTGGAGAAGTCTGACAGCACCTTAATCAAGTCAGTGACCACTATCAACACTGAAACAAATGGAAATTATATGCTGCCTGATAGGAGGCCATGCGAATTAGCATCCTTTCTGTGACATCCTTGTCAAAGACATATAATCTTAACCTAAATCATGACAAAATTTAAATTGAGGGACATTCTACAAAATAACTGGCCTGTTCTTCAAAGTGTCAATCATGAAGTCAAGGTAAAGCTGAGGAACTATTCCAGATTAAATGAGATTAAAATGATATGTCAAGTAAATACAATGCATAATCCTGGACTGGATACTTTTCCTATAAAGGCATCATTGGGATAACTGATAAACTTGAAAGGGAAACACAGACATATCTATGGATTCATAGACATATCTATGAATATTAATTTTTTGATTCTGATGGTTATATTATAATTATAAAAGAGAATGTCCTTGTATGGAGGAAATGCAGACTGAAGTATTCAGGGATGATGGAGTCTTCATGTTGGTGGCTTTCAAATACTTCAGAAGGAAAAAATATTTGTATTGTTCTTATAACTTTTATCTAAATTTGATATTTGTGTTTTGTTTTTTTTTTGAGACCACACCCAGATACTTTTTGTATTTTTAGTAGAGACCGGGTTTCACCATGTTGGCCAGGCTGGTCTCGAACTCCTTACCTCCTGCCCGGCCTAATTTTGATATTCTTTTAAAAAAATCAGGCCAGGTGTGGTGGCTCATGCCTGTAATCCCAGCACTTTGCAAGGCGGAGGTAGACCATTCCTGAAATAGAAGGTGACGTGAATTGAAAGACACACTGTGTATGGGGAAACTTTACCTAGAATGGTCAATAAGAGGCTTATCCAAGTAAAATTTGGGTTTACTTAAAGAAAATCAGGTTAGCATAACAACATTCAACACCATAAATCAACAAAAGAACACCTATAATATATTCAAGGAAAGAAAATGTAAATCAAGGAATTTTAAATTCAGCAAAGCTGTGCTTCAAATATAAAGGCTCAAACATGCCTGAAGTCAGGAAATACTATCGTCTTTCCAAGGATTCTACTAGAGGATGAGCATCAGCCAACCAAGAGATGATTGGAGAGACTAGGTGAGGTTGCTCACACCTGTAATCCCAGCACTTTGGGAGGATCACTTGAGCCCAGGAGTTTGAGACCAGCCCAGGCAACATGGTGAAACCTTGTCTCTACAAAAAGTACAAAAGTAAACTTTTTTTTAAAAAGTTAAAGAATGTCATTTAGAATAAACCAGTAAGAAACATTAGCATAAAGAAAAAGAAACATTAGCATAAGTGTACAATGGTAAATAATAAGACTTTTATTGATTAAAAAAAAATTTGTTTTGAGACAAGGTTAGCTCTGTTGCCCAGCCTCGAGTGCAGTGGCATGATCACAGCTCACTGCAGCCTCGACCTCCCTGGGCTGAGGTGATCCTCCCACCTCAGCTTCCCAAGTAGCTGGGACTACAGGCATGTGCCATCATACCCAGCTACTTTTTGTGGTTTTTGTACAGATGGGGTTTCACCATGCTACCCAGGCTGGTCTTGAGCTTCCAGGCTCAAGTGATCCATCCGCCCTGGCCTTCCAAAGTCTTGGGATTACAGCTGTGAGCCACTGGGCCCAGGCTTCTTTCTTTCTTTCTTTAAATTATATAGTGATGGCATCTCACCGTGTTGCCCAGGCTGGCCTTGAACTTCTGGCCTTGAGCGATCCTCCCGCCTTGGCCTCTGAAAGTGCTGGGATTACAGACATGAGCAACTGTGCCCAGCCCTATTTTATTGATTTTAAACCACTTTTGTTTTTTCACATTTTAACATCTGTGAAATCAGAATGTGTTTTATAGTTAATGGTCATAGTTTAATTGACATTTTTTACCTAAGTGGTACATGAAATAATGGTATGTCTTAAAAAGACATCATCTCTCATATACAATGAAAAATAACATTATTGAATATAATTGGGTAGCAGAGGAGAGGAAGATGAAGAAAAATTTACAAGTTAATTTGCTTGTAAGTTAATTTGCTTGTTGATCACAGGAGGGAAACAAAGCAAGAAAGGGAGGACTAAGGGCATATAAAAAGATACACAAAGATGGCCGGGTGCGGTGGCTTACGCCTGTAATTCCAGCACTTTGGGAGGCTAAGGTGGATCACCTGAGGTCGGGAGTTCAAGACCAGCCTGACCAACATGGAGAAACCCCATCTCTACTAAAAATTAAAAATTAGCCGGGCGTGGTGGCACGTACCTGTAATACCAGCTACTTGGGAGGCTGAGGCAGGAGAATTGCTTGAACCTGGGAGGCGGAGGTTGCAGTGAGCCGAGATTGGGCCATTGCACTCCAGCTTGGGTGACAAGAGCAAAACTCCATCTCAAAAAAAAAAAAAAAAAGATATATGAAGACAAACCAATAGAACAAAAATACACATATTTCTATAGGGCAAAATTACCAAAACAAAACAAAACAAAAACAGATCACATAGTAAAAGACTTAAAATATAAATACAAGACAGTATAAGACAGTATAACTGCAACCAGATATATCTAACATAAATACATGCAAATAAACTTAATTTACTTAAAAAGAAAAATATTTTCATCCAGCAAAGCTATGCTTCAAATATAAAGGCTCAAACATGCAAGAACTCAGGGAATACTATCACCTTTCTAAGGATTCTACTACAGGACAGATGGGGTTTGAATTACAAAACAAACCCAGTTCTATGCCATATCCTAAAATATATACTTAAAGAGATTCCAAAATGTTAAATATAAAAGCATGATCAAAGACCTAAAAGGCAAACAAAAGATAACAGGGGACACAACTGAATATAAATCAAAGGATTCTAGACAAAAAGCTCCAAATGACCTAAAGTCTACATGACTGTATGAAGCTAAGATTAATTTTATCAGTTACGAATATCTATGCACCAAACAACAGAGTATCCACTTTCATAAAGATTACTGGATTTTAAAAAGGAGAAATAGGAACACACAAAAAAACAAAGAACAGATCAAGAAAAATAAATGCATTAAAAAACCCAAAACATATTAATAAATAAGATGATCTTACAGTTGTATATTAAGTTCTGTACTCTCATTCATAAAAATTGCTCATCTACTGGGCCACAAAGAAAGCCTCAACACATTCCAAAAGCTAATGCAGAAAAAAATTCTCTAAAAACAACATAATAAAAATATGTAACAAAATCAGAAAATGAAAAAATTCTTTGACTAAAAAATATCAAAACTCTCTATTAAATGACTCGAGTCAAAGAAGAAATACAGGTCGGGCGTGGGGGTTCATGCCTGTAATCCTAGCACTTTGGGAGGCCAAGGTGGGTGGATCACGAGGTCAGGAGTTCGAGACCAGCCTGACCAACATGGTGAAACCCCCGTCTCTACTAAAAATACCAAAATTAGCCGGGTGTGGCGGCGCATGCTTATAATCCCAGCTACTCAGGAGGCTGAGGCAGGATAATCACTTGAACACTGGGAGGCGGAGGTTGCAGTGAGCCGAGATCACGCCAGTGCACTCCAGCCTGGGCGACAGAGACTCGGTCTTAAAAAAAAAAAAAAAAAAAAAACAATGAAATCATAGAATTCCAAGAAAACAAAATAATAAAAACCCCATGTAGCAGAATCTGAGATAAAGTAAAAAAATACCCAGAAGAAAATTAAGTCTTAAATTTATCAATAAAAATAAAAGAATGTAAAGAAGTGAATGTTAGCATTAATTTTCAAAAAAAGATAAATACCAAGAAAAAAACTATTAAAGTAGAATTAATGAGTTATAAACAAAAGTAGTATAAATAAATCAAAAGGCTAGTTCCTTGCAAACATCAGTGAAAAGAAATCATCAGGTAACTAGTGGAATAAAGGAGAGAAAGCATAAACATGCAAAGTAAGAAATTACAATGGGGGAAATAAGAAACAGAAGGAATGAAAAGATCTCACTAAGAGACTTTGTGTAATTCTATGAAAATAACATTTGAAAAACTGAATGAAATGGGTAATATTTCTATGCAAATAAAATTTATCAGAACTGAGCCCAGAAGATAAAAAGCCTAAACAAATCCATTCTGTAGAAGAAATGAAGTCATCAAAGAGCTGTCTCCAAAATCAGATGGTCTTCACAAAGAAATTCTACAAGATTTTAAGGAGCAAACAGTTTCAAGCTATTTAAGCCATTCCTCTTTGCCCTGGCAAAGAGAAAAGAGAAACTCCCAAATTATGTTTATGAAACTACTATATATTGTGCCAAAAACAGAAAATCTCATGTATAAATCTTGAAGCAAAAATCCTAAATATTAGCAGATAGAATCTAACAGCAACAATAATCAAGATTCAGACAGTATTTATTTTAGGCATGAAAAGATGGCTCAAAATTGGGTAATCAACTAATTAACATAATTCATTGCATTAAAAAAGGAAAACTGCATGATCATTTTTCACAAATGCTGGGTATTTTGTAAGTTTCAACACCCAATCTTGAGGGGAAAAATAAAAATCAACGATACTTCCTTAATATGATAAAAACATTGATCTTATCCTCTTCACCTTAATAGGAAAACACTGAACATGTCAGGGACAAGATAGTGATGTATCAGAGGGGTAAAGTCAAAACAATTAGATAAGAGAACTACATTAGAAGTATTTCTAATTGAAAAAAGTAAAACTGCCTTTACTTATGATTCTCTTCAATTTTCTAGGTATACGATGATCTGAAAAATTACAAAAAAAAAGATAATTAGGTAAAATGGTAGGAAAAATAACTTATATAAACATCATATATGCAAATATCAATTGGTTTGTTAAAAATTAAAATAGAAGACCTTATTTGTAACAGCAACAAAGTAGAAAATGCCCAGAAATTAACGAAATGTTCAAAACCAAGATAAAACTTTAAATATTCCTTAAAGACACAAAAATACAGCCGGGCATGGTGGTTCACACCTGTAATCCCAGCACTTTGGGAGACTTGAGGCAGGTGGACCACTTGAGGTCAGCAATTTGGTGACCATGGTGAAACCCATCTCTACTAAAAATACAAAATTAGCCGGGCCTGGTGGTGTGCACCTGTAATCCCAGCTACTTGGGAGGCTGAGGCAGGAGAATTGCTTGAACCTGAGAGGTAGAGATTGCAGTGAGCCAAGATCATGCCATTGCACTCCAGCCTGGGCAACAAGAGTGAAACTCTGTCTCAGAAAAAAAAAAAAAAAAAAGACACAAAAATACACCTGACCAAATGAGAAAACGTACTACATCTATCAGTCAGAGCCCACTCAGGAAGAAACCACAATATGTATTTCAAATAAGAGAAAATATACTACAGTGAATTGGTTACTACACAGATAGTAAGACAGAAAAAAGTGAAATGACAACACTGAGGCAACTCATAAATAATGACTGCAGGAAAAGGTTACCATTCCTAGGGCTAAGACCACAAAAGGTGGTGTTACTAGAACCTACTATCTTAGAGAAGGGGCTTGTGGAGCTGTTGCTCAGTCCTGTGATGAGAAGGTACCTCACTGCTGCTGCTGATAAAGGTTGAGTATTCTTTATCCAAAATGCTTGGGACCCAGAAGTGTTTTAGAGTTCAGATTTTTTTTGGATGTTGGAATATCTGCATTATATGCCTGTATTCCTAATTCAAAAATCTGAAATCCAAAATGCTCCAGTGAGCATTTCCTTTGAGAGTCATGGAGGTGCTACAGTTTTGGATTTTGAACACTTCAGATTTTTGATTAGGGATACTCAATCTGTACTTCTTGAGTGGGTGTGATGAGGCTGCTTCTGAGTATGCCAAAAGCAGCTAGATGCTACAACTGGAGCCACTGCTGCTGGAGATAACTACCATTGCATAAGCAATGCCAATAGAAACAGAACAAAAAACAAAACAAACAACAAAAAAAAGAACCACCTTTCTCCACAATATCCTGCAAATACTGGCAGAATATTTATTCTATATTTATTCTAACAGGAATCCAGTTATTAAGAGTTTAGGGAATGAAATTTACAAAGCCTAAAACCCAACATCACAGTGTACAAGAGGGTAAATTTTGAGCTGAACAGTTGGTCCATTCCACTCTTGTGGCATACACATATGCACTTCCATAAAATGACGATTCCAAGCTTCTATCCAGTCAGATCAAACTATCTTTTATACAAATGAAGGTACTTTTACCTTCTCTCTCCCTAAAAAGGGAGACGCAAAGTCCCAACAGTAATTGTATCCATCTGTGCGTGTTTTATGACCTCTTCTAGTTGAATCACAATTCCTTAAGAATATTTTGCAAACTAATATTTAAACTAGTTAGCCACCACCAGTATTCCTTAGATAAAGGAGAAAGAAAATATATACATAACAAGCAGAGGAGGAAACAGGAATAGGGACTACATTCTGTTTCTGTAACAGATTACAGGGCTATAGGTAGTATTTATAACTTCCTTCTCCTACCCATTCCATATCATTCCCTTTGCCTACAGCCAAGAGCTCAGCTAGCTGCTTTAGGATTAACCTTAGAATCCGAACTCTCAGTGGTCCTGCCTTTAACGGAATGCTGTGGTTTCCCATTACCTTTTACTTTTGGACATGGAAGTATTAAGAGGCACCCCAGAGAATCCCTTGGGCACAGTCCACACTGTGCTAGTTTGTAGCAGTAATCCAATTTTCCCTTGGTAATTCGAATCAATCACTTCAATACATAAATAACCACTTCTTTCCCTGCTGGTTCTGTAAGCATGAGGAATCCAAAATGGTCAAGTGGCAGTCTCAAATTCAGTTTAAGTCAACTGTTGTGCCCTTGGTGGAAGCATGCTATCTATGAGGGTCTGTTTCTTTGGGTCTCTCCCGCTACCAATTATTCATCAGTTAAGAGTTGTCAGAAAAACAGAAATCACATTAGGTAGTTCAAAAAGAGGGAGTTTAGTATACAGAATTTGCTTCTGAGATATTATAGAAGTATAAGGGCCAATATGAACATGAAGATCATTCAGACAACCAACTGCAGGAGGCAGTTACCACAAGGGAAGGAGGTAGGGTGACCAGGACATAGGAGCTTGGAGCAAGGGTCACCGAAGAGTTGGTGCTCAGCTTATGAGGAAAGGTACCACTTCCCTCTGAATGTCAAGGAAGCCTTCACAAAAAGAGTGATGGCTGAGATGGGTTTTAAAAATAAGTTTACTATGCTATTCTACCTTTATTACTAACACATCCACTTTATAACTGGCCTGATCATTTAGAAATGGTTTCAGGGACTACCACTTTTTAGCACATTAAAAGTATTAGTGAATGAGCCAAACCATGGGTGCTGTAATGCGTCCAAAACAAAACTAGGATTGAAAGCCATCCTTTCCTGCTTCGAATATGTTCATTTAAGGCTGGGTGCAGTGGTTCACACCTGTAATCCCAGCACGTTGGGAGGCCAAGGCGGGCAGATCACTTGAGGCTGGGAGTTCAAGACCAGCCTGGCCAACATGGCGAAACTCGTCTCTACTAAAAAGAATACAAAAATTAGCCAGATGTGGTGGTACACACCTGTAATCCCAGCTACTCGGGAGGCTGAGGAAGGAGAATCCTTTGAACCCAGAAGGGGTGGTTAGCATTCAACTTCCACTCTGAATGCTAAGATTGAGCCACTGCACTCCAGCCTGGGTGACAGAGTGAGAGGCTGCAGTGAACCGAGATCATGCCACTGCACTCCAGCCTGGGCGACAGAGTGAGACTGTCTCAAAAAAAAAAAAAAAAAAAAAAAAGAATATGTTGGTTTAAAGAAAGGCACTGTCTAAGACAGTTTCTCTGACCAGAAGAGTACACACTTATAAAGCAACCACAGAGTGTATGGCACTAGGCATCACCAACCTCTCTGAGGAAGGTAATCAGAACCCTTATAAAGGGATCCACTTTGCTACCTGGCATTATTGCTGGTGCAGGGAAGTATCATACCAATTTACTGAGAAGGTTTTGAATCACATCTGGGTGCACTGTCTCCTCTTTCTTCACCTTTTTCTAGTGCTATGGTTATTTTCCACAACACACAGGCCCTTTTTATCTGTAGCTGGGAAAAGGGTATTTGGACACCCTAAGGAAAGTGGGTGGTAGTGACAACAGTGCACAGAAAGGTTCAGCAACACAATTTTTGGTGGTACAAACGGCTTGTTTTTGGATACGTGGACAGATTGGAGTACACACATTGACTAACCAATGCAGTAACTACAAAGAGGGGGTTTTGAAGTCATCTGGCTGAAAAGCTGCTGGAAAGGCCAAATATACCCACAGATACACTTTGAATCTAATTACTAGTACATTTCCTACACTGAAGAACAGAGGTATGGAAAGAACATCTTACCTTTGACCAAAAGAAAGAGAAAATAATTCAGATGGAGATGCTAAAGGGAAAAGGCAGTGAAATGCAAGTAATTTATAATTTGTTTACAAAGCTTCCCTAACTATGCTAGACAGCAATTACACCAATCAAGTCCTCTGAAGTGACTTCGCTGATGCACACCCAGGCAGGACAAAAAGCCAGCAGGGCTGAAAATCTGAGGGCTGGAGAGGAGAACAGCTTAAGATCCCTCAACCCTGTAATGCTTGTGTGCCAAAAACTTGAAATAGAGAACTAAAGATTGCAGCCTTTACTTGTCCTCTACCCTGACAGGAGATTCAAAAGGCAGAGCAGATGAAAAAATGGAAAGAGAGGCTTGAGAAAAAGTATTATTCCACAGAAATTCAAGATGACTACCAGCCTGTCACTCAAGAAGAATTTCGAGAGTAAGCTTATGTTCTAACCAGAGTATTATGGGATATCATGACATGGGCATTAAGGACATGAGTTAAACACATTATTTTCCTGAACCTAAAACCTCATTCTATCGGGATGCCTTTATTTTCTATCCAATTTTAAAGTTGCATATGACTCCATTTGCTTAAAAGGTGAGAAGCTTTTGATTACATCCCCATATCTCTAAATAACAGAAACTGCCATTTATATTTGATTTGCATAGCAGATACTGTTCTCCACACAGCTTTAGAATATTAGATCTATTACTGGCCACAAGAAGCACGTTTTAGGAGCTTACAATACTACCTTCCCAAAGCATTTCAAACTAGTAACTTGCTGTCTATACATAAAAGTGTATTACTGACTCATTCTCTACTTCCTTCTAAATTTTCTAGACTCTTTTTATATGCTGTGGAGCTGGAGAAGGAATTACACTACATCAATTTGAAGCTAAATCAAGTGATGAGAAAGGTTTCAGCTCTATAGTATTGAGAAAAGTGGAGGTAAGAATCTGTGATGCAATCACTGAGCATTTCTTTTTTTTTTTTTTTTTTTTTTTTTTTGAGACAGGGTCTTGCTCTGTCACCCAGACTGGAGTGCAATGGCCAGATCTTGGCTCACTGCAAGCTCCGCCTCCCGGGTTCATGCCATTCTCCTGCCTCAGTCTCCCGAGTAGCTAGGACTACAGGCACCCGCCACCTCGCCCGGCTAGTTTTTTGTATTTTTTAGTAGAGATGGGGTTTCACCGTGTTAGCCAGGATGGTCTCGATCTCCTGACCTCGTGATCCGCCCGTCTCGGCCTCCCAAAGTGCTGGGATTACAGGCTTGAGCCACCGCGCCCGGCCCACTGAGCATTTCTTATTCATGTATTACTTCATAAACTTGTACGCGTTTCAGACACACTTTAAAAAGTACTAACCAATCTATCAAACTATCCTCAGGGTCAGAATTAAGTGCCTCTGACAGGGACTCACTGTACAATCCACGCATATTATGACAAGCCTCCAGTATACACACACTGGTACAAAAGATTTTATAATGAGGTTTCTTATCAAATTCTAGAAAAGTGAAAGAAAAGTACAAGAAAATGCTTCTAGTTCATCGGGCAGGTCTCTAGTAGTTCAGTAAGTAGATAAAGACAGTTTTCTCCAAGTTACAGAGTAGAAAAACTATTGATGCTATCAAGTGCATCACGTACATGTTATGAATTCCTTTGGCCACAGATAAATCAATAAAGGCTTAGGATTCTGGGAAACCATTATATAAGACCAAAGTAACCTCCCTCCATTCTTTAGAATTTGAAGTCTTCTGGAAAAAGCCAAAGTGTAGAACAAACTCCTCAGCCACCTACAGAAATTTCACTAACATCTTCAAACTGGAAATTTACCTAGACCATTTCTAAGGTGTAATGCATTTAAGGTTTCCCCAAAATAAAATGCAGAGCAGGGTAGGCGTAATCAGTGTCATAAGAAGTTATGTTTGGAAAGTGTAAATGAGGTTGCTGTAACAGCCTTATTTGGAGGGTTGGAGAGTTGTGTGTGGCTGGCATTTTGGAAACTGGAGAGAAATTCTTCTAATTTTTCTAGGCTACGTAAGCCCCCCTACAATAGCCACATGTTCTCTCAGCCCAAGCAACATCATTTGACCTTAGCACTCAACTTCCACAATGGTACTCAACAGTCCCTGAATTTTAAAACTCGAATATAAAGACATTTTTAGATTACTACTCACCTTCCTCAGGACAAGCTCTTCTCTTAAGAGATCGTACATCAAATGTTCTTAATGGGATAATTCATTGTAACAAGAAATGCTAACTGTTCTATCTGCGGCTTCTCCCTAGATTTGCACAAGGGAACGAATAAGACGGCCCTTCCCTGCCTTACCATTTCCCAGAGTTGTAACCAGCCAAATAGTTTAGTGACCCTGTTGTTCCCTACCACAGCCCCCAGGTGGCATCATTTAAACAAAGCCTAAGGGTGACGGAACACTTGGGGACATTTTTTTTTTAAGCCCAATGGAAAAACAAACATACATTTACAATGACTTAGAACTTTCGAGTTCTTTTATTACAAAAGTCTGTACAATGAAGTGCCAGACACAGCAATGCAATTATACTGGTGGACATATATATATCTATATATTATTTGTATATAGATATACAGTTTTTATTTGTACCAAAGTAAAACTATCACCAACTGCCTAATTCTACCAGCTACTGGTCAACTATGACACACAATACCGTCACAGAGCATAAGTGCTGCCATGCCACTTTTACATATTCTACTCACAGCCAAACATTAACATTGAATAACATCATGAAGCAGCTGTTAATTCTAAAATGAAACCAGTCAGGCCACTGACTTATAAAAATATGGTACTCATATAGATTTAGCATTATAAAGAAGGAATATATTATTTAAAACATTTAAATAGTGCATATGGACATTTTTGCATGTGGTATATAAAATAAAACATTCATATAAAATACACAGTGCACACAAAATTAGATGTTTGGATACACTCCTATGTGGAGACTGAAGGAAATTATCTGAAATGTACACTGCATGACGAATTCAAATAAAAATGATACATCTTTTGGCATTTTCAATTTCACTTTTCTAGGTATACATTATGAATAACCTAGTTGTATCAAAAGGAAACCACACAAAAAGGGCAGGATTTAGTGCTTTTCTTTATTCCCCAACTACACATTCACTACTAGGTTTTCCCTCACCGCCCCCCCCCCCCGCCCCCAAAAAAGGCATTGCACACACGGGTGAAATGTGAAGTACTAGAACTGCTATTTATTATCAAACTACTTCATGTGCTTACTATGTAATAGTGCCAGAAGTCTGAGGTTCATGCTTCCCTCACCTTATTAAAGGATGTTGCAAAATTCCATTTTTATATGGAACAAATTGTTTATATTAGCTAGTTAAGAAAACCATGCATGAGTCATTGCATGCAAAACATGGGTATAGTCAAAGTGAGACAGTCATCAATCCAAAAAAGCACCAGAAAAAAAAAGTTAATTGCATGCAAAACATGGATATAGTCAAAGTGAGACAGTCATCAATCCAAAAAAGCACCAGGAAAAAAAAGTTAACACTTAGATTAAGCCTGACCCAAATCTGCTGTTGTACTGTTAGCACAAATGAAGTCACCATTCGGTAACAATGATTAGCAGAATGATACCGGGAGAGTACCTGAAGAAAAGCCATGCAAAGCCAAAGAAAAAAAAATATGCTGAGTTTATGACAAGGGGCATACCACTACACATCCTGTAAACAGCTGCTTTAAACAGCATGTGATGATTGACCAAAGGGTGGTTCCTTAAGAGGGCGTTGTTGTTGTTTTGGTATGGATTTTGCTCAGGGCGTTGTTGTTGTTTTGGTATGGATTTTGCTCATTAAAACAGGAGGGGAAAAAAAAAAGATAACCCCCTGAAGGTACATGTCAAAATGCAGTGGTATAGCCCTTGTTAAGAACAGATTTACCTTAGGCATAATGATTACTGATTTAGGCCCATTGATTGAACACACAAATCTGAGCACCATCAGAGTTCCTACATACTGACATGGCTATTTTCTCACATTATCTGGAGGTGGGTTGGGGAACAGCGCGGATCTGATCCAGACAAATCACACCATTGCCAGCGGATAAACAGTAACTCAGGAAACAGTAATTGAAGTCCCATAGGCAGCATGTGGTATGATTCAGTTCTGTGTGTGATGTATGGTATGTGTTTTCAATATACTAAGCAAGGTCACTTTTTGGTCTACCAACTGTTATCTTCATCCAGGAGCTGTGTGACCACTGAATTGCAAAATTTTACTAACATACTACCTGTGAGAAGGTGTCACTTTGGGAATTAAACAGAAAGGTATTCCACAGTAGGACTTGAAATCTCAGTTTGATTTTGGTTTTCTAGGAAAACAGAGAACACAGTTGCATATGTGCACTTTTATAAGTTTTTCTTTCAAATTGTCAGTCATTCTGTAAGAAAAAGGCAACAGAAGAATTCAGTGTGAAGATTTTCCTCCAATTTTCTTCAGTAATGAGAAACAAAAAGTTGGTAATAACAAAAAGTTTGCATTTCCAAAGTTCTTGAAGTTGAAAGAATAAAATTCTAGCCTTTTGCTAAAAGGATGTATTTGTAGTACAAAACAATGAAGGAAACCATGTTTGCTAAAGGTGGAGAGGACAGTCTGTGGTTAATATGGAACATCACTTACGCTCCCTTGAGAGGGCCTACTTACTCTCCCATCATTTGTTTTGTTTACTGGCACCACAACCAAGTACAAAATGAGATTCTCTGAGTGCCTGACAAAATGAATTTAAGTACCAGCCAAGTACCCATGATGACAGCTTCAAGGAATACAACTGACTTTATGATATGAATTTTCAAAGAATGTATTTTATATGGATTTTGAAGAATCTTGCTTGCTTATAAGAACTTCAAGAAGCCTAAGCTTGGCTTTAATTTTCTTGTACTCCCTGTACTCCTCAAGCACTGGAACACGATCCTCTTTCTGGGCATTCCTAGGGGAGAAAATAACATTTGTAATGTTCTAAAAATCATTTGGAAAAAAAGATCCAAAAGTTGTCTTAATATGAGACATACTGTTACTAAATATAAGTTCAAATAAAAAGTTGTTCCGTTTAAAAAAAAAAAAAAGTTATTGGACTAATACCCTCATCCCCAAGGACCATTTCTAAAATTTTTGATGGACTTCTCTACTTATAGATTAAATGATGCTATACTTACAAATAATCAATTTAGATAACTGTAGGAAACCCAATATTTTAGTAGGACATCCAGCGCTACACTCTGCCAGGTCTGTGAATATCTATTAAGTGTTGGAGGCTACACTGAGTCATTTAATACATTTAGTTACCTGTGGCTCCAGTGAATTGAGATGTAAAAGTAAATTATCTTACCTGCAACAAGAACAATTTTCTAACTTTATAGTAATGACCCAATGCAATTCAGTTTAATCACTAGCTAAAGAATCAAACTATTCTAATTATAAGCAAAATTTTCTTCCAATAATACAGTGAAACAGAAGACACTTAGAAAAATGCATTTCTGCACTTCAATTTTTTTTTTTTTTTTGGAGACGGAGTCTTGCTCTGTCACCCAGGCTGGAGTGCAGTGACGCCATCTCAGCTCACTGCAAGCTCCGCCTCCTGGGTTCACGCCATTCTCCTGCCTCAGTCTGCCTGGAAGCTGGGACTACAGGCGCCCGCCACCACGCCCAGCTATTTTTTTTTTTTTTTTTTTTTCGGTAGAGATGGGGTTTCACTGTGTTAGCCAGGATGGTCTCAATCTCCTGACCTCGTGATCCCCCCGCCTCAGCCTCCCAAAGTGCTGGGATTACAGGCGTGAGCCACTGTGCCCAGCCCACTTCAGATTATTTTTAACCATATGTGCCAACCTATATAGGAGACTCACAAAGCAAAGGGAATTAGAGTACAGATATTTT